CCCACTTACTGAAAGCTTGTAAAATCTTCTATTTTGCTTGGTATTCTGAAAAGTCAAACAACTATGTTTTGGAACATGAATATTCATGATGGAGAGTTTGTAAAATTCCCAGAAAAAGCCACACCGATATTCAAGATTCTCCAAGACTGAATGTCTCACTAGAACTCAGCGACTGTGGCTGTTGCTTTGGGTTCCCTTTATAGCAATTCACTGCCCATCTCTGTTTGATCTAATGTTCTTTCAACTAGTGATGATTTTGAAATGTATTACCAGACCACACGCTTCCACCAACCTTAAAGTCAAGCATGCATCAGGTCAGGGTGCCTCTAACACCTCTCGGGGTTTTCTACATCATGGCAACTCACTTATGTGATGTTCCCACCCATGCACATAGTAAATTCCCTGATTTATGACCTTCTCTTTGCTCTGTCACCCTAAGAAGTTCATGTAGCCACTTCCTCATTGGAATATTCTAGGCAGCTTGAATCCGTGTTTCTGGTTCATTCTCACTCATGTTTCATTCAGAAAAATCCTTATTACCTTTGAAGCTAGACCTGTGTTTTGTATCAAGACATTTTGAAACTGTCTTGTTTATAAGTTCCTCTCTCTGCTTCCTCTTTTCTGGAACCCAGAGCCTTTTGGATATTGATACTCTAGATTTGATCCAATTTTCTTATCTTTGCTCTGCCCCCCCCCCTTTTAACATTTTGATTCCATTTTTTGGAAGTCTGCTAAGTTTTTTGTTGTTGTACATTTGAGATATTACTTTTAGCTAAGGCTAGACGAGAAGTCCCAATTGTATAGTTTCTGCCTCCAAAGTGTTGGGATAATAGGCATGCCCCTTCATCTGTGTTCTTTTCAGACAGTCTTGCTGACATAGAAGAGTAAGGCCGAGAGTGAGGTCCTGAAGGCCTGACAGGAAAGTTAGCCCCAGATAAGATGTTCTGAGCTCATCAAGTTCCTAAGCTGCTATCTGGAATTATGGCTAACAGTTTCCTCCTCTAGGGTATCAGCAACTACAAACACATATTGCAATGCCTGGCTATCCACTTATGTATTCAATTTTATTAATTTTGCAAATGCTACAAAAGTGCTCTATCACCAACTACATCCATAACCTCCACATGTCCTTTACAATTTCACTTGAGATATCTTGTTAAGTTGCCTACACTGGCCTCTACCTTGTGATCCCCTACCTCAGCCTCTGGGGTAGCTGTGATTATAGACATTTACCACCACATTTAGTTCCCTTAAGTTTAATTTCAACTCTTCTAATTTAAAGTTGTGTCACCATTTTCTCTCTTTTCTGAAGCAGGGTCTTGATATAGAGCTCAAGCTGGCCTAAAAACTGTGATCCTCCTGCCTCAATTCTCCAGTGCCAGGGTGTGTAGCCCTGGCTGTCCTGGAACTCACTATGTAGACTAGATTGGCCTCAAACTCACAGAGATTCTCCTGCGATGCCTCTTGAACACTGGGATTAAAGGCAGGAGCCACCACCCGGCATTGTCCATCAAGAATTTTTTTTCTCTGCATGTTTCCTAGTGATTTTAACAGAGAACAGCAATCTCAATCTGTACTTTGTCTTTTTTTTTCTGAGACATAATTTCTCTGTATTGTTTTGGAAGCTGTCCTGGAACTAGCTCTGTAGAACAGGCTGGCCTCGAACTCAGAGATCCGCCTGCCTCTGCCTCCCGAATGCTGGGATTAAAGGCGTGCACCACCAATGCCCGGCTATCAGTATATACTTTATCTTATGGCTGCATGTAGTAACTTCTACAAGAAGATACTATTATAATGACCCCTTCCTGCTGTTTATTAAGAATAAACTACAGCAGATACGACAAATATGGAAGGTCTCCTCTGCATATTTCCTGTTTAATTTGTTCCTTCTTTCGAGGTAGAGGCTTGTCTTAGCTATCTATCAAGTAGCCTTCAGTTTTTTGTTAATACTTAAAAGGGGAAGACCCAAAGGAGGCTAGCTGCGCTGTGAGCATGGATGTGGGCTTTTAACCACAGAGCCTTCTCACTGGCCTGATAGTGCCTTTCAATTAAGGATACTGTGTGTCTGGTTGATTGACTTGCCTCTTCTCTAGATACACAGAAAATTAAGAGGTGAATTCAAGGCCAGCCTAGACAACTTCAAGATATCTTCCCTCAGCATAAAGAAAACTGAAGAGGGTTGGGTTACAGCTCAACACATGTTAAGCTTGATGTCTTACTTGTGGTAATGACAATGACATACAACAGAACCACTAGATTTCCCATCTCATTTGGTGTGCCAGTCAGCTTTCTGTTGCCATGACAAGTACCTGAGACAAACAGCTTGTAAGAAGGAATGGGTTTATTTTGGCTCATGGTTTCCAGAATTTCAGTTCAAGGCTGGTGCAGTTGCTTTTGATTCTATGGTGAGTAACCATCGTGTTAGTGGAGACACAGTATAGGAGGCTGCTCACCTTACAGATGCCAGGAAACAAAAAAGAAAGGGAAGGAAGCAGTCATAGCCTTAATATCCCCAGCAAGCACACACCCCTATTGACCTAATGCTTGTATACTAGGCTTTGTCCCCTAAAGGTTCCACCAACCCTTGAGAGCAGCAGAATGAGCCTCTGATGCATGGACTTCTGGAGGGGACATTCAAGATTCAAACTACAGCATTCGAGTCTGGCTCCAAAGCCTCATATCCATTTCACAATGCAAAATGCATTCAGCTCATCGCTAAGATTCCTCAGAGTCTTAAGAGTTCCCCTGTTCCAAAGTCCAGGTTCAAAGTCCCCCCTGACAGTTCTGAAACACTGTAAAAAATCACAATTACATACATCCAAGACACAGCACCACAGGCCAAACATTCCGACTCCCAATAGGGATACAAGCCCAGAAAGGGAGGATTTGACTTGAACCCTCAGAAATAGCTCAGTGGCACTAACATTAACTCATTGCTTAGTGACTAGTAATGGGGGATCCGGCGGAGTGACATGAGTTCCGAAGGACCTGGGTAGTCGCACTCCTCCGGCTTTGTTGGTAGCAGGCCACACAGCCAGTCTCAGACTGGTTCTGCTGCTGCCTGTCCTTTTGGCAGGCATTTCTCCACGGCAGTGTTGGCCTTACTCCCTGCTTCGCGCTTTACCGCTTCACCGCCAGGGGCTGCTGCGGGACATGGCCCAGTCACAGCGGGCCTCGGGCTTTTGTTTGAAATTTCACGCCAAGTCTCTATAACCCCTAGCTCTTGCATTCTCCAGCAAAACTGGCACCCCGGGGACAAGAGCAAGTGGCAGCGGCACTGGGGGTTGCGGGTGCTGCTAGTGGATTGAGGCCCATCTCAACCTGAATGCCTTGAGGGCTGAAGATGGAGATTTCCAGAGAAACAATTCCCTAGGTGACTCTGCAACCAACCAGGGTGCCCCAGGATCCTTCCTAACGTCTCTGAAAATAATTTGTACTTTGCCTTTGAGCCCATGATGGGTGGTCTTGCTAATTAGGGGAAATCGATTCAAAGTTATTTTTTCCTATTGTCCTTTTCTAAGTACTTCCTTTGAGACAGGGTCTCACTCTGTAGTCTAGGCTGGTCTCAAGCTCACACCAGACCCCTCAAGTGCTGGGACCTCATGCTGAGCAACCGCACCTAGACTTTTTCTCTCCTTGAATAGCACGATCTCTTAATAGTTGTGCACTCTTTGGCAGTATTTGTCAACATGCTTCTTTTCTGGCCAAACTCCAAGGTTTCCCAATATTTCTGCTCCAGTATGTTGTTCATTGAAAAAACAAAGCAAAACAAAAAAAGACAAAAAAAAAAAAAGTCCACAAGGAGCCAGAAACATTCAGGCTAAACCCTGAACACTGTTGCCTTGACTTACTCCTACCTCTTAATCTGTTACCTTTAACCCCAGCTTCTCACAAAGATGCAGGGGTGGCCTTTGGTCTGGTTCCGAAGTCCTTATTCCCACTTGAAACCCCATAAGCATAATCTTTACAATGCTGTGTAAACCCTCACCAGGATTGCCCATGGAGCTCTGTTTCCAGGGTTCTAATCCCCCTCTTGATTGCTTTTCCATTTGGAAAAATGGCACCCAATTCCTATTGTTGGAGGGGTACAATAAAGAAACCATCAAAATGGGCAGGGGGCCGGGCGTTGGTGGCGCACGTCTTTAATCCCAGCACTTGGGAGGCAGAGGCAGGCGGATCTCTGTGAGTTCGAGGCCAGCCTGGTCTACAGAACGAGTTCCAGGACAGCCTCCAAAGCCACAGAGAAACCCTGTCTCGAAAAACCAAAAAAAAAAAAAAAAAAAAAAAAAAGGGCAGGGGGTAGGTTTTTGTTATTGTGGATAAGAGACAGAGAACATCCAGAGGCATCAGGAAGAGTTCAGAGCAGAAACAGAAACAGACCAAGTGTGGCCAAGGCTAGGAAAGCAGGGTGTGGAAAAATAAGGAGGGTGAGTGACCAGGAGAGAAGCTACAGGAGGCAGTGAGAACGGTCAGGATGGGGTTTGATGTGTCTAACAATATGCATGAATAGGGGACTCTGGGTGCCCGGAAGCCAGCATGGACTTTGATATGCAGTCACAGGTATACGTCAAATGAAGAGCCACTATGTCCTTTCTGCCAGGGGTAAGGGAAATGACTTTTTTTCTCCCGCCCCCCTACCCTGCACCCTGCCCCGGAAATAGGGTTTCTCTGTGTATCCCTCGAACTCACAAACTGCCTTTGCTTCCAAGTGCTGGGATTGAAGGCATGTGCCACAACAGCCCAGCAGAAATGATTTTTTTTTTTGGTTTTTTTGAGACAGGGTTTCTCTGTAGCTTTACATGGTCTTCAAGGAGTATGAAGCCCCAAACCACACACCACAGCAAGAAGAGAGGAAGACAGGCCCTCGGCTGCTGAGAAGTTCCTGTCCCAACTCTGTCTCCAACACCAAACATGTCCTGTTTCTATCATAGATCCCCAGAACGAGTCCCATTCTCATGAATACCACCAATAAAGTTCACTGCACCTACCCACAAAAAAAATATGCTTAGAACTGTACTTTATTCAACAAAAACACAAACTCAAAGTTCCCATCTTCCCAAACATGTTGGAAGTCTTAAATAAAGCTTACTCACAAAATTTGAAGCCTTCAAAAAAGAACTGCTACAAAATTATTCTAAAGTCATAATCACTTTGAAAACGCAGATTTTTATAGCTACAAAAATAGCAACATGTTGAAAATCTTTATTTTGCTAACCACACATATAAAGCAACACAACAGCATACACAGTCCACAGTCTCTAAACACCTAACCAGTTGCTCTGAGAAAGTCCCGGGGCCTGAGGTTTCTCTTCCCTTCTGCCCAAGGTCAGAAGTCTTGGCGGATGTTTTCCTTGTTTGCCTCCCCATGCTGCTGCTTGATTTGATAAATCTCGTTCTCCAGCTGCACAATAGTCCTTTCAATCTCATAGTTCTTACTTACCAGGGATACCCAACTAGGAAAGAAAAAAAGATTGAAAAAAAAAAAAAAAGGACTTGATGCAAAATTTCAGAGCTTATCTTAAACATATAGTTTCACTCAGGGCACTAACATTTTAACTTTCTGTTTAAAAAAATATGAAACACACTCTTGGGAAAGTAGAAGGGTACACAGGATTTCTCTGCATTATTTCTTTTTTTCCTGAGACAGGGATATGTAGCACCCCTGGCTGTCCTGGAACTCACTCTGTAGACTTCTGCCTCCCAAGTGCTGGGACTAAAGGCATGCACCACCACCACCTGGCTTTTTTTTTAAATTTACTAATTTATTATGTATACAGTGTTCTGCGTGCATGTATCCCTGTAGGCCAGAAGAAAGCACCAGATCTCATTACAGATGGTCTTGAGCCACCATGTGGTTGCTGGAAACTGAACTCAGACCTTTGGAAAAGCAGCCAGTGCTCCTAACCTCTGAGTCATCTCTCGAGCTGTCTGCATTATTTCTTATAATCGTAAGCGAATCGTCAACTGTCTCATGATAACTTTTCCTTAGGAAATAAGCAGAAACAGGAGAGAATTAGTGAGACAGAAGAGACAGAACAGGGTAATGGAAGACAGCATAAGATTAACAGAAAACAGGGCAGAATCTTAGAAAATAATGGACAAGATTCTAGAATTGACAAAGGAAAAAAACAAAACAACCAAACCAACCAAATCCATAAACTTAGCTCCTGTAAATAAGTCTCAAGGACAAATTTAAAAGAAGCATGAGCTTGCAGGAAAATGTGGAAGTGACCAGACCCTGATGACACTGAAGGCAGGAAGAGGGACAAGGAGAATGGTGTGGGTGATGAAGGGAAAGTAGAATAATAGAAATGACTTACAAACCCATCACTTGATATAGGTATTTAATTCTTCTTTTTGGAAACTGGGTCTCTCTCACTCTGTAGCCAAGACTGGCCTTAAACTCAAGATCCTTCTTGCTTAACTTCTTACATGCTGAGACTAAGGTGCTCATGGCCACATACAACTTACAGTTAGGAATTTCTATAAATGATATATGTATGTATATGTAGAAGAATATATTTCTAAAATAATATACAATAACAAAGGTAAGCAAACAAATTAGGCAAACTATGAAATTCCCCTTCCTACAAGATTAACGGCCTCAAGTTGGGGGCTGTGAGACCAGCACCACTTAGCAATAGCTCAGTCCTTGTCTGCAGTCCCAGCTACTCCGTATGCTCCTCCCTCAGCAAAGGGCAGGTACATGAACAGCCTTTGATTCCATGGCATCCCATGTGAATATTACTGAAACTGTAAATCTTGCTCTTAGAACACACTAAACCTAAAACACAATGAAATTATACACTCACTTTGACTCCATTTCTCTCAATTTAGATCCAGCTGAGAGTTGCATGTTTTTTCGCTGCCAGTTTAAATCTTGAATATGTTTCCTGTAAAAAATATTTTACACAACCCAATGACATTTTAATATATGACAAAAATCAATAGGACAAAATTATACAAGAAATTATCTTTAAGCTCTTTAGGTTCACATACACAATTATAGAGTAATTCTAGGAATTAACTTGCTTCTAATTATTTTTTTAATTACACCTTCTGGAGAATATGCTCCTTGTGGGAGAAAAGAAAACACCAACCAACCCATAAACATGTATGTAGACTACAAATTCCTCCTTCCACACACGTTTCCCTGGCAACAGCTGTGGGATTTTCAGGAGTACCACACTTTGAATGCTCACTCACACTGGAGCCTATGCCATTGTGGGATGCTATGGGAGCAGAAGTGGGTACAGTTACAGTACTTAGTGGTGGACTTTAAGGAGGTATGGGTTAGATAAGGTTACCAGAACACAACTCCAAATACAGAATACTAGTGGCTTTACAGTTAGAAACCAGAACACAGAAATGCAGCCTCCTTGTCTCTTGTCATGTGATTCCATCTACAACGCTGGGATCTGTCCCTAGCAGGATTGTCAACAGATGCGCTTCTTCAGCCCCAATGATCCACAACTGTGAGCCAAAATAAGGATCTTTTCTTTCAGACTTATCTAGTCTGTGGTATTACTAGCAACAGAACATGAACTAAGACCTCGATGTCCTTTCAGGTTCCTTCCTATATGTGTATGTGTGCAGTGTGTTATCCTGCAATGTCCTGCCTAACTCCCAAGGTGTTCTTTCTAGGTTTGCAGATTTTGAGAGTTGTACAACAAGAATACATTTTCAGGTTTCAAGCTTATTCTTTTTTTTTTTTTTTTTTTTTTTTGGTTTTACGAGACAGTACATGGCTATTTGTTAAATGATCCACTTCTAAAACCAAAACCAATTGAAAACAAAATTCCCAAATGAAGACAATTTCTCGCACTTGTAATATATCCAGTAACATATTCCAGTGTATGTGAAACTCTGTGCTATCCAGCCATTTGGTCCTGCCGATCCACAATCTACCAGCCCTTAGACCAAGGAGTTGGCTTTCCATGCAGCTTGTCTGGCTCCTCCAAGTTGTAACTATGAAGGTGCTCCAGCACCTCTGGCTGGAGGCCAGGTCAATTTCCCAGGTTTCCCTGCCGGCTGTTCAATATGACCCCTGCTGACTGGCGTATCCTCAGGTACGAACCCCTTCAGACAGCAGGGGTGAGTTTTGAGACAGTGTCTCAGTAGTCCAGGCTGTGAGCGACGGAAGCACTGGGACTACAGCTGTGCTCCATACTCCTGGCTCCGTCTACGCAATGTTCAGGGGTTTCCCAACCCACTTCTCATAAACCAGCAAGCATGCAACAAAGTCTATCCCAAGTTTCCCTCCAACGCGTGCCACAACACACAAACTTTGACTTTTGCTACTCTTTGCTATCTACCTCTTGGAATTTACGGATTTCTACTATTTTACCCACACTGATAGCAATATACAACTGAAAATTAATTGCTTAAGGAAAGTGGATAGTTATTTACTTTCACAGGACTATAGTCTTAGTGGTTTTCTTCCCCCACTCTGTCAGGCTCACCTAAACTTTATTCAAATAGAGAAAAACACTTACCTTAACTTCTGAAGCTCCTTCTGTGCATGTTCAATCATATGAACGAGGTTTCTAAGGAAGAGCACATACACTCTGAAATCTGGTATCACCAATGAAAACTGAGCTACCTATTGTATTATACAAAGTCAGGCTTTTCTGCTAAAATTACTAAATCCTGGGATCTCTGTGACTAGTATGTCAGATAATTCATAAACATTAGCTTGTTTAACCCAGCACTTTACTGACAGCTTGACTTTGGACACTGCCTGTGCCTCCCAATTGCTGGGATTAAGGCGTGAACCACCACCCATGATGTTACCTCTTAACCTATGAGCCATCTCTCCAGCCCCCTGATACTTCTTAAATTCTCGGACTCTTGTTTTGGAGACAGTGTCCCACAATGCTGATCAGGGTGGCCTTGAACTCCTGCACTCAGGCAATCCTCTTGTCTCAGCCTACGTTCAGGCAGCTGCAAAGTTAGGGAATGTGCCACCACACCCACATGCCACATCAGCAACTTCTGACAGCAGATCACCTTGCAGGCCTCCAGGAGCAACGCTGGTGAGGCTGTGCTGCTGACACTGACCCCAAGGCTGCTCCCCTGCACTTCCTGGCTTCTGAATTCAGATTTGCTGCAGCTCACCCTCCTTTCTCTCCTCTAATGACTTCTTTCCTCACACAGCTGTACTATCCAGCTGTTCCCTCTGCTGCTCACTTTCAGAGGCTTCACCATGCCCTCAGGACGAAGGGCTCTTTCTGGTGCTCTATTCTGCCCTCTGATGATTAAAAGGATTTTTTTGCTTGTTTGAGCTTTCTTCTTGGAAGTTTACTTTGATAATACATGCTTCCTGTGGAAAAGTTATCTACTGGGTTTGGAGGAGGCAAACATGCTCTGAAAGTCAGCAGAGTGCTGTGACTAAAGGGAAGTGCTGTGATCACACACGCACAGCAGTCACGAGAAGAGAGATGCGGCAGAACCCGAGTTCAAGAAGACAAGCAGACTAGACCACGCCACCTTCGTTCCTGTGTCCTCCACACTGCCTGTCTCTCGTCCCAGGGAAGGTCCCACTGCACAGCGTAGGCTGATGTTCAGCTTGAAATTCTCTTGTCTCTACTCCTAAATGCTGGAATTTCAGCTGTGTCACCATGCTGACTTTTGACTCCAGTTTCTTGTCTGTGGGTGGGTGTGGATGTTAGGTACCAAACCTATAGCTTCTGCGTGCCTGGTAAACACTATACCATGGACACCACCGGATTCCATAAATCCTTTTAAAAATTTGTTAAAAAAGGGTCTCAACCCAGTTTGGCACTGAACTTCTGATATTCCCAAATGCTTGGCTTAAAGGTGCTACTGGGTCTACCCACGTGAGTTAGGCTGACTTGGAACTCACATAGATCTGTTCATCTGCTTCAGCCTCCCAAGTACTGAGCTTATTAGCATATAAGCATGTACTACTATGCCTGTGCTGAACTTAAAGGCATACAGGCATGCACAACCATACCTGTGTTGAGTTTACAGGCATACAGGCAGGCACCACCATACTGGCTAATGATTCTCATTCTGTTTTGGAGTGTACAGTTACATTTGCCCATGTGGAGGCTGGAGGAGCATCTGTGTGTCTTCCATCTTTCTCTAGTTTATCATCCAGTCAGGAAACTTGGAGCTAAACTGGTGGCATCAACACACTCAAACCAGCAGAATGGTTTCTAGTAGAATCTTTTTATAGTTCCAAACCTCACTATTATTCCCAAATCCTACACTGCAAGCTGCCAATCTTGCCAAACAATACTGTTTACTATTTGCAGCAGTTCACAAACAGTGCACAGCAGTGAACAATCTGGGTTGCTGGCCTTAGCTAAGGCTACATGAGGGCTGCTCCACCTTTTTTTTTTTTTTTTTTTTTTGAGATAGCGTTTCCCTGTGCAGCTCAGGCTGTCCTGAAACTCTCTGTAGACGAGGCTGGACTAGAACTCTGAGATCTGCCTGCCTCTGCCTCCCAAATTCTGGAATTAAAGGTGTGCACCACCACCACATGGCTGTTGTTTGACTTTTTTGAGGCAAGATCTCACTCTATAGCTCAAGCTGACAGGAAACTCATGGTGATCTCCCTACCTCGGCCTCCTGAGCATTGCAGGACTACAGATGAACAACCACCTGGCCAGGACTTTAAAGAACATGGCAGGTGAACATGAAAATCAGACTGCAGCCAGGCCTTGGTGGTGCACACCTTTAATCCCAGCACTTGGGAGGCAGAGGCAGGTAGATCTCTGTGAGTTTGAGACCAGCCTGGTCTACAGAGTGAGTTCTAGGACAACCTCCAAAACAATGCAAAGAAACCCTGTCTCAAAAAAAAAAAAAGAAAGAAAATCAGACTGCATTCTATGTACTCTGTCAATCACCCTCCAAACTCATTTTCTTATAAAGTGAACACATGGTTAATTATGTGAATGTAGGTAGCTTAGCACTGGTGAACTCTAACGTAGGACTAAAGCCTTTTGTTGCTGTACTGATACATTCCCAAGTCAAATCCAGCATTACTGTTATTTTGGATATAGGGTTTTACTATATAAGCCTTGATGACCTCAAATTCAACATATAAACCAGGCAGTATTTGTGGTATTCCCCATGCCTCAGTTTCCCAAGTGCTGGGATTCTAAGTATGTACATACTACACTTTTAAAAGACACTGAAAACTCTGAATGGGACAGGGCAAGAAAGGAGGGAGGCCAATGCTTCTTACTCATTATATACTTTCCAGGCATTACACCCATGCTGTGACATCAGTTCCAGATTCTCAATTCGCACTGCTTGATGCTCTAACTGGGCCATGGAATTGTTCACACACTCTTGCCATGCAGTAATGTCATTTTTCTGACCCGAAGAAGGGGCTGGAAGTTCATATCTGAAATTATACAACAAATAAATACAACAACATATCTTGCCAAATCTCAATCACTCCTTCCAATAGAATCCTCATGGATATATGCCTGATACACAAACACACACACACACACGCACACGCACACGCACACGCACACGCACACAAATTACCGATCCCCACCCCCCTCCAACCCTAACCTTAACCCATTACCCTGGAAACTAATTTACAAATAAAACACAACTGTATACTGTAACAAAAAATTATTTTCATAAATGTGAACGAGTTAACCTGTAAAAGTCACAGCGACTCTGATGTTTCTTATCCCTGTTTGTCACCAGCACCCCTCTTGGGTAAAGTGTCTTACCAGCCTTTTAAAAAGTTGCTTAAAAGTATTATATTTGCTAACATTTTTTTTTAAAGAAACAAGGCTGTGACCATGTTTATAACTAACAGCACTCTATCTTCTACTCTCACTGTTCACGGTCTCCACACCGCTAGCAATGCTCTTCCCAACCTCACTCACCGTTTCATGCTGAGTAATTCAATTGGTTGTCGAGCAGCCAGCCTTTCAAATTCATTTCTCATTATGTCAGTCTGATGCACAAGACACAAAGAATTAGTACCAGGATCAGGCTGAAAACAGTGTTTACTGAGGTTTCATACTTTGTACTACATTATAGTGGACCTTTCTGCTTCTCTCAGTCACCAACCCCTCCTCCCTTTCTAAAGGATACTTATAATTGACCCAGGGGCTCGCACACGCTCTCCCACCATGCTACACTTTCACCATCCCCCAGTTTGGGCCTGAGTTCAAGTCTATCTAGGTCTGAAGAAAAAAGCACACACTTTTATTAATTCTATATTCTGCCCAGGCACAAAAGGAGGCAAACATAAAAGAACCCATGTGTGAAGGATTAACCCTCAATGAGCAGTTTTCAATGCACTGCAAACAGTTTTGGAGCTCTGAAGACAACTTTTTATTTTTATTTTTTGCTTTATCGAGACAGGGTTTCTCTATAGCTTTGGAGACTGTCCTGGAACTAGCTCTTGTAGACCAGGCTGGCCTCCACAAAGATCTGCCTGCCTCTGCCTCCTGAGTGCTGGTATTAAAGGTATTCGACACCAACGCCTGGCCTCCAAAGACAACTTTAACCCCAGTCACACATTAAATTGTATTTCACAACATATAAGGGTCTTGAATCTGAGACAAATGTTCAGGTAGTCTCTGATGCTGTGTGGTCTGACACAGTGTAAATCCCACATGTTCCATCCAGTTTAAAACCCGGACTTCAATGAAGTCACACAAAGCAACATGCACCAGCACTGCCACAACCTTGGATTTGAACTTGATTTCTGAACCACATGGAGTTATAAGACCCCCTGAGAGGTTACAACACAGTTTAAGAACCTGGGCTCTAGATGAGGAAGGTATCACAACTAACCCCACACAGGGAGCAGTCTCTCAGCCTGAAAGACCTCTTTCAACCATCTAATTAATGTATGACAGCCACCCAGTTGCTATTACATTTGTGTAGCCCTGGCTATCTTAGAACTTGCTTTGTAGATCAGCCTGGCCTCAAACTCACAGAGATCCGCCTATTTCTCTCTGTCTCCCCAGTGCTGGGAATTAAAGATGTGGGCCACCACTGCCCAGCAACATCATTAATTTTCTATACAGCATTTATCAAAAAATCTGAGACTTTTTAATTTATCTGCCCATCTCAAAACTAGAATCTAAGTTCTGTGAGGATATAAACTGTGCCTATTCTGTTCTGGAATATATTATATATTCTGTTCAGTTTGCATAGACAGTATTTATGAGGGGGAGACGCTTCATAAGCACTTTCTAAATAGGACTCCAGTAGTCTAGAAAGCAAAAAGAATTCATATGTGCAATGGCAACAAATCAAAAAGTTTTTTCAGTGGGTAGTAGCATTCAGAGGCAGGCAGATCTCTGTGAGTTCGAGGCCAGCCTTATCTATAAAGCAAATTCCAGGACAGCCAGGCTATTACAAAGAAACCCTGGGGAGAGGGAGAAAGAGGGAGAGAGAGAATGTGTGTGAGTGTGACAAAACAAAAGAAACAATTACCAGAGTGAAGGAAGAGACCTTACAGAATAGAATCTTTTTTTTTTTTATTTGATTTTGATTTTCGAGGCAGGGTTTCTCTGAGGCTTTTTGAGGCTGTCCTGGAACTAGCTCTTGTAGACCAGGCTGGCCTCGAACTCACAGAGATCCGCCTGCCTCTGCCTCCCGAGTGCTGGGATTAAAGGCGTGAGCCACCAACGCCCGGCCAGAATAGAAATCTTTGCCAGCTATTTATCTTACAGGGGATTAATATCCACAATATACAGAGAACAGGAGAAACCTAAACATAAAAGACAAGTACCAAAAATAAGCAGACAGGCAAATCAGCTGGACAGTTATCAGAAAATGCAAAACAAAACTACATATGGAAGCCTAGAATATCTGACAGATTTTTTTTGTGAAGCAGGAGTTTTGAAGGACTGTTATACCTTGTCTTGGCAAAGTTCAGCAGTTGCCTTCTTTTGTGTCCTGCCTGTCCAGCTTGAACAGCATACTGTCAGCAGTCGAGACAAAGGCATTTTCTTGCCCAATGGCTAGCTTTGTCACATTGAAACCAAACTCCATACGGGGCTTCTTTGATGCCCATCATCTTCTCTGAAGCGAATTGGTGCTTTCAGGAGCAGATGTGCCTCACTGTCATGAAAAGCCTAATGCTATTAAAACATCTTAAATGTCATGTTCTGTAGATCTCTGAAGTATGTGAAGACCACCTGTCTAAAATACACGAGGCTACATAAAGCTTATTTCTGTCTTCATCTAAACCTTACAAGTTTGATTGTTATCTTAATTATCCTAAACAGTTTGTAATAGCAGGGTTTTGTTTTGTTTTTGTTTTTCTGTCAAGGTTTCTCTGTATAACTTTGGAGTTTATCCTGGCACTCACTCTGTAGACCAGGCTGGCCTTGAACTCACAGAGATCCGCCTGCCTCTGCCTCCCAAGTGCTGGGATTAAAGGTGTGCGCTACCAATGCCCGGCTTTATATTACAATTTTAAATGAGTTGCATAAGTACATTACAGTATGTTGTAACAAAAATAATCTTAAATTTGTATCAATATACAAAATCCATACCGCTGGGCGGTGGTGGCTCACACCTTTAATCCCAGCACTTAGGAAGCAGAGGCAGGCAAATCTCTATGAGTTCGAGACCAGTCTGGTCTACAAGAGCTAGTTCCAGTACAGCCTCCAAAGACACAGAGAAACCCTGTCTCGAAAGCCCCCCCCCAAAAACTCCACACAAATGTACAGTATTTTAGCCTAAAAATAGATTCAATAATCTACCCTTTTATCCTAGCCTTCATATATTCCCTTTTTTTCCTTTTCAGAAAGAGATCCCTGAATCTAAACTCCTTTGTTTAATTTTGTCCCCTGACTATGCCCAATAACAACTTGCAACTAAGCCCCTTAAACAATGGCAAACATCCATAACCCACTGAATGACTAAAAACCACCCACCCTGTCTCTGGGAGTGGTGGTCATGCCTTTAATCCTAGCATCTGGAGGTAGAGATCAGCAGACTGGCACTTCAATGCTGTCCCAGGCTACAATGCAGAGTTCAATGCCAGCCTGAGCTACTTGAGGCTCTGTCTAAACACACACACACTCCTACATCAAGAATTGGATGTGGTGCCTTACACTTGCAATTCCAACACTCACAAGCCTGAAGCAGGAGGATTATTCCAAGTTCAAAGCTGACCTGCCTTAGTGAGTTACAGGCCAGCATGAGTTCCTACCTCAAAAAAGTTCATTGGCAGAAGAATAAAAATGAACAGTTGTGTAATTCATAGAACCATTTTCTGAGCTAGGAAAGATAGTCCAATACACCATTAGCAATTATTAAGAAAGGATTAAATTAACCAGGCGGGAATCATGCTCATTTTAAAAGGGCAGAAAAAATGTATTAAAGCATTTAAAAGTTTGTAACTGAATACCTGACTAGGACCTAAATGGTATTTTGGTTGCACTTGTAGGATAACAATTTTAAATGGTATGCCGTTAGACATGTTTGTTCAGGCATTCATACACCTGCTAACTATCTGAGTTTTGTTACAAAAATCTCCCTCCAGTGGTTGCAAAGAGTAAAGGTAGTTAAGATTATAAATATTAAAATCCCGTGATTATTACCTGTTTCTGAGTGGACCTTGGAGAATAAAGGATAAGGAATCCTTTTCGGAAATTTACTAGGGGCGCTTAAAAAATAAAAGACCCAAGATATTGTATTAAATAAGTCTGCAGAAACCAATTAAGTATTTCTTGTAATACGAACCCCGAGGAAAGCTCATCGGGCTATTTTGAACCAACTGATGCCTACATGACATGCAATATGAGCAGCAAGCAGCAGTTGCTTCCAGCAACTTGGAAGATGTCCATTTCACAGTGCTAAAGCCCTCAATCCGAAATCTAAGCCGGCAAGAATCCCGGTCAGGGCGCGGGACCCAGGGCGCCGCACTTACTTCAAAGGCAGAATAATCCGGGGCTGTCAGGTAGCTCAGGTAGTTCTTGGTAGGTCGGTATCTGCGCGTCTCCTCCTCCACCAGGGCCGCAGCCTAAGAAAGAGAACAAGCCGGGGTCGCCGCGAGAAAGGGAAGCGTGCCTCGGGCGACCCCGCCGCACACGAGCCGCACTCACCGCTTCCCGCACGCCGGGCGCCTCGTAGCCTTGGTCAAAGTACGGCAACGCATCCACCACCACCTCTCCGGCTACCAAGCCCGTGCCCGCCATGGCGAGACACTCTGCTCCAATAGCGCCGTCAGTCTGCGCAGGCTCAATACCATTCCACTGCGCCTGCGCCTGGAGATGACGTCACACACGGCGCTGCCTCTTGGATTCGGGCGAGCCCAGGTTGCTAATTCTGTGGCCGCTAGGCCTTAAGGACTGTTTTGTTGGGGGTGGACTGTTTTGTTTGAGGCCACACGCACTTACGTCCCGGTAGACATGGCACTTTGCCTATCTTTCCGTGGCTATCATGTGTTGTTTTTCCTGAAGTTCCGAGGACAATTTTATTCGAGTTTAAGAGAAAAACAATAGGGCAGACAGGAGACAAGACATGGGGGAGAGAGAGGAAACCATGCCTTTTGAGTTAGCATAGGCCAGCAATGCAGGTGATGCTCGCATAGCAGAAGGGGGAGTGGTTTAAAAGACGAAAGCTCAGCGCATTCTTGGCGTGGGAACTTCTCAAGAGGCGGTTGCTGGACTTCACTGAAGGGGAGAAATGTATTTCTCACTCCCTTTAACCTACCTTCTGAACTCTCGCATAGTGTTGGTCTTTTAGCACCCCTTACTTTATCCTCATTCACAGTGGGCCCCTTAAGAATGTTCTTTGATAGACAGTAGAAATGGGAGCCTGTTTCCAATGAAAATAATAGGTTTCAGATCTAACCTCATTTAAGGAGCTGGGGGTGCGGCTCAGTGATAAAGCCCCTTCTCAATCTCCAGTACTGCAAATGAACATCTCATGCTCTTTAGGACTGGAATTCTATCTACAGGATGCCTTGCTTAAAAAGCTCTGCCATGTTTTCGTCTTTGGGGCCTACATAAAACCCAATCATTTTGCCTTTAGGATTTATGGTTATAGTGATCCTCCTTGGCTCTCTTCCCCTCGGGCTGTAGCTAGTAAACATTCTCTGTTAAGTATCTCCCTCCCAGACTAAGAGGTAAATGCAAAAAAGATGGTTGGACCTATGTATCCTGCCTAATGGGCATTCAACCAAGGCTTATCTGTTACGAGTTTTGGAAAAGTTGGTCTCAGCTATAAGCCTGGTGATTCTAAGATGGACATGGGTATTTATGATTTTACATTATGCTGCCTATTAAGTGAAAGCTTCATAACTGTGGTTTGATGAGACCTGCCTCTCCTAGGCCTAGGTATTTCAACACTCGGTCCCCAGTTGGTGGCGCTCTTGTGGTTGTTTAGGAGGTGCAGCCTGGCTGGAGGTGGGCTTTTAGAGGTTAAAGCCTCACAGTGCATTTGCGCTCTGCTTCCAAGTTGCTGTTTGAAGATGAGAGCTCTCAGCTGCCCACTCCTGCCTCCATGCCTCTGGCTTGGTGCCATGCTTCCTCACCATGATGGACTCCAACCCCCCTGGAACTGTAAGCCAAATAAACTTTTTCTTTAAGTTGCTTGTTTTATCACTGCAACAGAAAAGTAACCAATACACATCTTTTTTTTTTTTTGGTTTTATGAGACAGGGTTTCTCTGTATTGTTTTGGAGGCTGTCGGACCAGCCCGGCCTCGAACTCACAGAGATCTGCTTGCCTCTGCCTCCCGAGTGCTGGGATTAAAAGTGTGTGCCACCACCGCCCGGCCCAATACACATCTTATGTGGATTTATTTTAAATTCTCCAAGAGATCTGTGGGGTTTTAAAAATGCCTTTATTAATTAAAAGATCTGTAAACATTTGCTAGAAATCTTGAATAATTCTTTTTACAAACATATCCAGAATTCACAATATTTTACAAAAACAAAATACAACAAACTCAAGGAAAGGAAGCAGCTTTAGATTGTAAGAAGGTAAGACTCTCACCCTCAAAACATAGTCTCCCTGCAGAGGGAGAGCCACGACCAGCCACAGTAAACACTCCTATTCCCATCTTATAAACAACCAATTACCAACTGTTCTTCAGGGTTGGAGTGTAAGAAGAGACCCAATGGGGAGATGTCTGAGGAGTGCCACTGGGGTAGATGACACCACATTTTAAGACACAGGCTCAGTTCTTTTCCCTGGATCCACATCTAGGAACTCTTCTATTGCACAGCACCAGTCTTACATGGGCTCATTCAGACACTTCTGAATGGGTGATAATGGCAGTAGTTGTATCCCAATACAATGTACAACATTTTCTAAGTCTGAATGAATCTTTTCCATGCTGGGTAATGCCATTAGCAAAGCTTAAAGAAAACAACTGACATTTGCCACAACATTTATCATTTATCAATGAAAATTGCACGTTTACTGACAAACTTCTTTTCTCAGGCACCACTCAAGCTCTAGATTTCCAGCATCTGGTTGATGAAGAGGTATAGGCTTAGGTCTGAGTCTACTTAGAATAAAAACTCACAATAATGTAAAAATAATCAGTATGGCAGAGCACACATAAGGCCCTGGGTTCTGCTCCCAGCACCAAAGACAAAACAAACGAAAGAAACAGTGTCTCATCTAGACACCCAGAGCTTGAAGTTTCATCAAAGCCTAGAGGTGGCTCTGATATACTTCATGGAGAACTTTAAATATTGCTATAACACTAAGGAGCCCAAGTTTCCAGTTTCCATCTATAGGACTAACTAGATTTCTCTGTGTTCATTAGGCAAGTGTGTTTTGGTTTAGTTCTATCTTAAATGTATAACTGACCAAATTACTTAACCTCTCTGAACTCGTTTCTTGCAAAATATCACAAAGCTGACCGAGAGCTTGAAGAAAATGGTATATGTAAATGTACCAGAGTGTAGCAAATTGTAGACACCAAAAGCCAACAAACAGGTAGCTTATGTCCTTAAAAGGACATTTTCATATTGGCTGTAATGTCCACAAAGCATGGTAATGCTGACAGATGAGAGGCAAGCTATTCCAGCAGGACACATGTCTGATGAGGACTGGCATGGTGTCTGCTTTTTTAAGGTACTAACATGAATAAAATTCACCAAGACAGGCCATGGGACAAAAGGGGGCTATCAATGATGAAAACACTGGAATTTGATAGCACAAACAGCCCATGGGTTTAAAGTAACTCGATGCTTTCCTGCTGAGAATCATGTATAAGGTGTAATCATAGTGTTCTCTAGCTCTACTGAGCCTCTCTAGTACCTGGAACTCAGCATTTCTCTCATTCTCATCTGGGTATTGTTTTTTAAAAAATGCAACACCAAGTATTTCCGGGTCTTTTTCTTGTATAGACAACTGCTTTCATAGATTAAGCACTCAAAATAGAGCTCCCTGTAACCACCAATAACTAAAGAGAAAACACCACAGTAAAAATAACTTGACCTGATGTAGTGATGCTTGCCTTTAATCCCAGCACCTGGGAGGCAGAGGCAGGTGGATCTCTGTGAGTTTGAAGCCAGCCTGATCTACAGAGTGAGTTCCAGGCCAGCTGGGGCTACATAGAGAGAGACCCTGTCTCAAAAAACCCAAACCAACCAGCCAAACCAGCCAAACAAAAAGTCCCCAAAGTAGAAGTGGAAGAGAGCGCATTGGTTCCAGACTGCTCCAGGCTGGTCTGCAGCTAGGAGAGTCTTCCTCTGGCAGTCTTTCTCTTTTACAATTCAAGGACTCTGAAGGACTCTTGAAGGCATCCAAACCCTTGGAGAAATGCTGTCTTTGGCACGTTCACTTATGTGTAGAAGAAGGCACATTCACTTCTTGTGGAGAAACCTCATTTTGCTTCCTGGAAGGAGGAAAAGAGCACGCGTGCCTTAAGTACCTTCACCTGTAGTACCTCTGCGGCAAGGGGCCAACAACCTAGCCATTCAGAACCACTCAAGAGTTTAGCAGCCTTGTCAAGCACTGTGGTCTGGATAAGCGTCCCCCAAAGTCCTATATGTAAAAGCTTGGTCCCCAGTTTGTGGCACTACTGGAAAGTAATGGAACTATAAAGATAGGGCTAAAGGGCGAAGGTCTGGTCCTGATTGTGCACTTGAAGGTACTTGGCCCCTTCCTGTCTCTACTTCCTGGCAGCCATGACACAAGCAGCTTCTTCTACTCACATCTTGCCATGATGTATTACCTTGCCACAGGCCCAAAAGCATCAGGGTCAATCAGCCATGAGCTGCAAATCCCCAAACTAGGAGCCCAAATAAGCCTCTAGAGTCTAAAGTCTCATCCTTGTCATCTCAGGCAGGCTTTTGTGCTAATGGAAAGCTATCGGTAGATGTGTTTAGCCACTAAAAAACCATGAGTGTCTAATTGCAGAGGTGGAAAAGAATTCAAGACATAATCTAATACAAGTGGTTTTCAACTCAAACTGGAGTTTCAAATTACCTGGCCGACTCCCTGGAGATTTCTCAGAGCTTAAGGGAAACTTTTTTTAAAGTCCCTAAAGATGATTATCTGATCTAATCTAAACCCATGGTACAGATGAAATCATAACCAGCAGCATAATTTTCCCGTGGTCTCTCAGCTAGGTAAGGGAAGGGTCTAATCGGGGCATGTATCCCAAAGCTCAGAGTTTAAGATCATTGTTTTGGATAGATACACCACTGTTCTCATGTCGTACTGGAATTTAAAAATCATAAGAAATGCAAAATTAGAGTGAGGCATCCTTTCTACCCTCGAGTCCCCCAGGTCAGGTATTTTAAGTCTGAAGTCCATGGATATAAGTTAGGGGTCCATGGACACACTAAAATTATATGTAAAATTTATCCCTTTGTATTTTTTCTGGTAAATAGGACCACTTTTTAAAAAAAGTATGCCCAAAAGATGTAACCTAAAAAGCATCATGATCATGACCCAGAAACTTTTACCTTAAGGTTAATTAGGGGCTTCACTAAGGAGGCAGCCCAGAGCCCACCATGGTGGGGATTCCCCAGCATTTGAGGTGACCCGCTTTCTGAAACATTAGGAGCTTGAATAGCAGTGGCCAGACAGCTTGAGGTTGCACTGCCGACTGATTACGAGTCTTTGGGATGAGGTTTGCTTACTGTGAAGGTTCCTTACAGCCATTTATCTAATAGGAGAGCAAAGTAACTCACCAAGACTCCGCAAAATTCTATTCACTCCACTGGGTTCTGACTCAGGAATTGTTTCCAAATATTGGAGAGCCCGGACTTCAAATAAACCTATAAAGAAGACATTGGTGAGACTGTCCAACACTATCCTGGAAACAAACTAAGTAAAACCTTTTTCTTTAATTTTTTTGCAGTGCTATGGGCAGACTTAGGCCTTTGCACATGCTAGGCGTGATGTACAACTGAGCTATACCCCCAGTCTAAGATGGGTCTACTTTTAATGCCTTTTTTTACTTATTTATTTACTTAATTTTGTGTACATTCATGCTTGTATGTATGTTTATGGGGTTAGCATGTGCAAGCCACAGCACACATATAGAGGTCAGAGGTTTGCTTGTGGGTATCTGTTCTCTCCTTCCAACACACTGAGCCAGAGATGGAACTCAGGTTATTAGGGTTGCTAACAAAAGCCTTTACCAGATGACCCATCTTCTTAGCCCTGATCCTGGGTGTTTTTTGTTCTGCCTACATGTATGCTTGCACTCCAGAAGAGAGCACCAGATCTCTGTGAGCCACCTATCGGTGCTGGGAATTGAACTCAGGACCTCTGGAAGAACAGCCAGTGCTCTTAACCTCAGAGCCATCTCTCCAGCCCTCAATCCTGTTGTTATTACCAGCATATTACTGTACAGTTAAACAGTATTACAGACAATTCCCACAGTAACTCAGATGTGTCCTTGTAAGTCCACACATTTTGTTTATTATTCAATCTTTCTAAGTATTCACCAAAAAGGAGGGACTGGTTTATGGCAGAACCCACCTTTAACTCCGCTTTGCCGAAGTTCCCGGTCCTGGACAAATCCTGCAAACATCTGGGTCTCCATGAAGAGATCTAGAAAGTGGCGGACACTTCGGGAAGTGTGGGACTTTCGGAATGGCTCCCTCAGGAACACACGCTCCCCACACTCTGTGACAGTCATATTCAGAGAATAATGTCCCACGAGTTCCACAAAGAACCTTACAAATGCTTCAGACACCAGAGAATTGAGTGTCACATCTGTTTCAAAATGAAAGAAATAAAGAGAAAAATCTAAGCTTTCTGAATGTAGGAATATTGATGCTAGTTATGGAAGCCATGTCTAAAGAGTCATGAAAAACCAAGAATAAATGTAGGATATGCATTATTAGCTGGTTGCACAGCCCATGGCATGCAAAAAGCAAACGGCTTCTGTCTTGACCTATGTTTCCCTCCCATGGTACTCTTACTGCATCTTGCAGCCTGGCTTCCACACTGCAGTTTCATTACTCATGCAAATACAACCTACTTTTCTGCTTGTCCTCTCCTCTCCTCTGTGCTGCCTCTGTGCCCCGCCCCTCTGTGTCTCCCGATTCCTATCTAGCCCTGTGACTGACCATTTGGTTTTCTCTTGCCCCTTCATCCTCCCTAAGGGTGGTCCCTGAACCACTTCACTTCTTTTCAGCAGTCTACTCCTTAGAAAGCTAATTGGCAGCCAGGTCCGGTGGCTCCCATCTGTAATCCTATCACTTGGGAGATGCAAGCAAGAGAATCAGGAGTTCAAGGTCATCCTCAGCTATATAGTGAGCTTTGAGGCCAGTTTGGGCTGCATGAGATCCTGTCTCAAACAGCAACAGTAGCAGCAGCAGCAGCCAACAAACAATGCCAACTGGCACAGAGACAGGGCTGGCTGTGCAATTCGGAGTCTTAATCTCCAGACCAGTATTTCACCCTTTCTGCTCTCAGGCTGTCTATGGTGGTCATTATTAACTGTCCCATTATAAATTGCCTAATTGATAAAGTGCATAAATTCCATTTGTCTAGAAGTCATCATATCACATCCTTTACAAAACTTGGTAGGCTATGAGCCAATTAAAATATGATATGTCAAAACACAAATGCACTATATTTTTCTACAAATCCCTTGCCTCCTCAACTTTCTCACCTCATATTACACTATGATTTATTCTAATAAGAATAAGTTATTGAGTATTAAGTACATGCCAGGCACTACACCAAAGCACTCTTCAAAGGCAATAATCAGACATGCTTCCATTGCTTTCTATGTGCCTGTCAGTCCACCCATCCATTTTGACTCCAACACAGACCTCTCTAAGATCTTTCTGCATCATCCAGGTTGGTCCCAAGTGCTGAGACTATAGGAATGAGCTACCCTACCCTACAGCAATGTTTTATCACTCCTCCAGTTCTCTTCCTTCCACCATGTTCCTATCAATAAACAGCCTTAGCTTCCATTCTCAAATGGCCATGATGACACTGCTTTTTGTTGTTTTGTTTTTTGAGACAGAGTCTCTCAGTATAGCCTTTGTTGGTCTGGAACTCATTGTGTAGACCAGGCTGGCCTTGGATTTATAAAGATCCAAGGACTCTGTCTCCCAAGTGCTGAGATTGAAGGCATGTGTAACTATGCCTATCCACACATGCTTTTTTACTTTTTTTCAAGACAGGGTTTCTCTGTGTAGCTTTGAAGCTTGTCCTGAAACTCACTCTGTAGACCACACTGGCCTCAAACTCACAGAGATCCATCTGCCTGTGCTTCCCGAGTCCTGGGATTAAAAGTGGGCATCACCACCACCCAGCTGATACATACTTTATATAGAGAGTCATGGGCAGGGGAAAGGCGGGGAGGGGAGGGGGAAGGGAAGAAGTCGGCAAATGCTGCTGACAAGGGGACATCTTTTTAAAGACAGGAAGAAGAACTCAAAGAGAAAATGACCTATAAGACAGACCTATATGAAGAAAGCATTCTATAAAAGTAATTTTTCAAAGGTGCTATGACAGAAACAGGGCTAGCACTTAGGGGGTCAGTAAGAAAGGATGTGAGATTTTCAAGGTGTACTACTTTGGCACATTCCTTAGCTGAGTGTTGGATCTTTACTGTGGCCACTGCTTTAACCTTAAGCCCTCAGCCCAAATGTCACACCTTGTGAAAACTGCTGTTCCTGGGCCAAGACTTCAGTTCGATCTTCTAAAATCTGTACCAAGGCAGCTTGAAGTTTAGGTGGCAGGATTTCACCCTCATCGGACACCTTGAGAGAAGCACATGGCATGAGCCTTCTGAGAGTTCAAATGTGTACTAGCTAACAGCCCCCACCCCACAGGTGGCTTTGTGGATGCTCTGCCTGGAGAGTTCTTTGAAATTCTGCCACCTACACAGAGTACATGATATTTACAGTGTATTTTAACTTCACTTTTAAAAACTAAGTAAAACCTTGTAAAATTCTCTGGCACTGTTTTACAAAATCTCTCTACAAGTTTCATTCTTTGTCTCCAAAGCCATCCCCCAATAAATGGTAGCTCAGATGTAAGGAGACAACTGATTTAGAAGAGATCTGGTTTCCAAGCTCAGTTTACATCCAGAGAGCTACTCTGAGACCCATCGCTGTCTCCCCCGTTGACCATCCATCAAAAGAAACACTTCTTTCTGCCCCAGGAGGCCTTGTTGGGATTGCTAATAAACCATCTCTAAAGCATTAGAGAAATGCCCACCGCCCTCAGTCTCTGAGACCTGTCGTTCTTATCTGTAGATTCTGAATGTAAAGCTGAGCATCTACAGATAACCAGAGCTAAGCGCTTTTCTCCTCCTCCTGTGGTGCTGACTTGGATGGAGACAGGCACTCTGCACTGAGCTTCACCCTCAGCTCAACAAATTTCACTCACTCAGAGGCGTGCATTTCTGAAGCTGAAGGCGTGGTTACTTCTTTTGAGAATAACATTTATGCTATTTCCTCCTTCCTCCTTTGGGATGGACACCTTTAAGCTCAAGCCAGTTTTCAAGCCAGTCTTGTATGGTTAGCTCCAGTGTCAACTCAGAGATGGCTATGAACTAGACGTCCTTTCTGAGTCACCCTCTCTAAGCACTTTCACGTACTTTCCATCTAATTGCCTACAGAGACACCGATATCCCCAAACATTATGTAAGCATCTCCTTTGTCACTCACCTCCTGCAGGAACTTGTCTGCACAGAGATCGACAATCAGCACCTGAGGAATAAAGGAGACAGGCAGGTTCAACCAGAGACACCCACAGACACACCAGGCACTGCTGAATCGGGATGGGCACTTTAATTCTTTCAGGCTATGGGAATAGTTTCAAACAAAATTATCTCAAAGTTGCAGCCAATTTAAAAGTTAATCCATCAAAACAACAAATGAATTGGAAAAAGAAAAAGATGTGCACAATTACATACTACAGAGAGTTGCCAGGTTAGTGTGGTGGAGCCCTAGGGAAGAACAGCATTTTCGAGAGGTGGGTAGCTACAAAGAGGGAAAATCCCCAATGATCTCTACACCACACTATTTGCAAACAGAAAAAAGGCAAATACAGGGAGACAACAGGGGAGGATATGCTCCTCTTCATTAACTTATTGTGAAAAATGTAAGCAGCTCATGAAAACATCAGTCATAAATGAAAAAATTGGCATCTTCACCGCATTAAGATGAACAACTCTCCTGAAGTGTCATTTTAGGCTGGGTGTGTTGATGCAAGATAAAATACCACCAGTCTGGAGGCCATGACAGGATAGTTACCAAGTCCCAGGCCAGCCTGGAGATGGAGTGAGACCCTGTATCAAAAACAAACAAATGACCCTCACCCCCAAATCCAACAAAATACCCACACTCCAGAAAACAAGCTCAGAACATGGTTCTGGAAAAAGAAAGGCCAAGCAAGCCTCAGGGCTGGAGATGTAACCCAGTTGGCAGAGTGCTTGCCTCGAATGAACAAAGCCCACAGTTTGGTCCTTTGCGCCGAATACATCAGGTGTGCTGCCACACACCTGGAACTCCAGAACCAGGGGCATGGAGGAGGACAATGAGAAGTTCAAGCACATACATAGCTACAAAGTGAGTTTGGGGACAGCCCAGGCTTCCTGATCTCTATCCCTCCAAAAAAAAAAAAAAAAACCTCCAAAAAAGACAGCCCCCATAAAAAGAACTAAAAAAAAAGCTTTTGGGTTGAGCTGTGGTTCAGGGTTAGAGCACTCATTTAGGTAGGTACCCCAGGTTTGATCCCCAGCACCAGAGAAACAAAAACAAACAAACAAACAAACAAAGAAAACAGGGCATCTTACAAATCGTGGAAGATAAATAATCCAGGGTAAAGATAGGATATGCTAGTCAATGGCCAATAAATACACTTCAGAAGCAATCAAGAAAGACAAACTCAACTACAATGAGCACACACACGACTCCATAGTCACCAGCCAGGGCAGCTAAACCAGACAAGCTGACGAAGGCGCTGGTGACATGTGAAGCAACAGTTTCTCTCCTGTATTGTTGGGAGAAGTTTAAATTAGCATTACTTTGAAAAAGTTCAATTTACTAAAGTTGCTTATCCTATTGTGTATATCCTATTCTGAAGCATATACGCACAGAACTCAAGATTGTAGGGATCCAGTATGATGGATAATATTTACAAGCAGGATTATTCATAAAAACTTCAAGCTGCAGACAGCTCAAACATTTATCAATTGCAGAATGGGTAAGAAATTTGTGGCACACTCATACAATGGCATGTTCTAGGCGATCAGAATCATCTAACTATTTGTAAACATGCACAGATGAATATTATTGCACATGCCAAACAAAGAAAACTAGAGAAAAGCTACTCTTTTATACCAAGCTTCAAAACTAAGAACACGGGACAACATTTTGCTTAAAAGTGTTATTATCATTTATTTATTACACGTGTGTGTGTGTGTGTGTGTGTGTGTGTGTGTGTGTGTGTGTGTGTGTGTGTGATGTACAAAGCTGTAGTATGCCGACTACACAGGAAAATTTGTAGAAGAGTTTTTTTTTTTGTTTTTTGTTTTTTGTTTTTTTGTTTTTCGAGACAGGGTTTCTCTGTGGCTTTGGAGGCTGTCCTGGAACTCACTCGGTAGACCAGGCTGGTCTCGAACTCACAGTGATCCGCCTGCCTCTGCCTCCCGAGTGCTGGGATTAAAGGCGTGGGCCACCAACGCCCGGCCTAGAAGAAAATTTTCTTCCTGTACCTTTGGCTGGATCTCAGGATGTCTGTCAGGTTTGGGCGAAAACACATTCACCTGCTAGGCCACCACAGATATTTGGAGATAAAATTATTATAAAGAAATACAATCAGGCTGGGCCGTGGTGGCCCACGCCTTTAATCCCAGCACTCGGGAGGCAGAGGCAGGCGGATCTCTGTGAGTTCGAGGCTGGGCTGAACCAACAGCCTCCAAAACAATACAGAGCTGTCTCGTAAAAAAGCAAAAAAAAAAAAAAAAAAAAAAAGAAAAAAAGAAAAGAAAAAAAGAAATACAATCAGATGCCTACTATATGTGTCAAAGATAGTGGTGACCTTTTCTGGGGAGGGGAAGGGTCCATGAGACTAGAGACTAGACTCTTTTGCTGTAATACCCCACTGCCATCTAATACTGGATTGTATTAGTATTCACTTGGTAATAATACTTTACTAGGGTGTATATTGTTTGTTTAGGGCACTTATCTATACATGTGCTTGCTATATTTGGAACAACTTTTTTTAGTCAACCCTGAGAAATTCTGTGTTTACTTAAAAAACATGGGTCAGCAAGATCAAGATGGATGACCTGCACTCCATCCCTGTTGCCCACAGAAAAATAAAGGAGAGAAGCTGAGCTGAAGAGAGGGTTCAGAGGCCAAGAGCACCAGCTGCTCTTCTAGAGGTATCAGGTTCAACTCTCAGCACACACATGACAGCTCACAACTGTCTATAACTCCAGTTCCAAGGGGTCTGACACCCTCACAAAGACATACACTCAAGCAAAACACCAACACACATACACAAAATAAAAAAAATAGAATCATTAAAAAATCTATTTTAAAGTGAAGGAGAGAACTGACCCACAAAATTGTCCTCTCTGACCTCCACATGTGTGCCGTGGCAAACTCTCTCTCTCTCTCTCTCTCTCTCTCTCTCTCTCTCTCTCTCTCTCTCTCTCTCTCTCTCTCTCTCCCTCCCTCCCTCCCTCCCTCCCTCCCTCCCTCCCTCTCTCTCTCTCTCTCACACACACACATACACACACTTTTTTTTTTTTTTCTCGAGACAGGGTTTCTCTGTGGCTTTGGAGGCTGTCCTGGAACTCGCTTGGTAGTCCAGCCTGGTCTCGAACTCACAGAGATCCGCCTGCCTCTGCCTCCCGAGTGCTGGGATTAAAGGCGTGGGCCACCAACGCCCGGCCCACACACACACTTTTTAAAAAAAAGAAAACCAAGCCATACCGTGGTGGTACGTCTTTAATCTCAGCATTTAAGAGACAGAGGTGGGCAGATCTGAGTTCCAGGACAGCCTGGTCTACAGAGTGAGTTCCAGGACAGACAGGGCTACAAAGAAACCCTCTATCAAAAATAAAACCTCCTTTTTATAATAGATGGGTCCACTGCTCACTACTGTAAAAAAAAAGGCATTAGATGCAAATGTATCATGAAATTGTTTTCACTTTAAGAAAGTTCTAAAATATGTCTAATATTATCAATTATTATATTCTAAAAATGTTTAGGCTTATTTATTTCATGTGTACGAGTGTTTTGTTCACATGTCTGTCTGCTATCAATTGCATCCTGGAACTGGTATTATGGGCAGTTGTAAATCTCTAAGAGGTTACTGGGAATCTGGGTCCTCTACAAGAACAAGAGGTCTTAACTGCTGAGTCATTTCTGAAGCCCAAATGATAAAATAAAAAAAATTATTATATTAATAACAATTTTACACCCTTTTTTGTTGTTGTTTTGTTTTTTTTTTTTTCGAGACAGAGTTTCTCTGTGGCTTTGGAGGCTGTCCTGGAACTAGCTCTTGTAGACCAGGCTAGTCTCGAACTCACAGAGACCCGCCTGCCTCCCTAGTGCTGGGATTAAAGGTGTGTATCACCAACACCTGGCTCAATTTTACCCCTCTTAAAAGGTCTTTGGTTTCCTTTGCCAATGCTCTAGCATTTCCCGAGGGTACAATGTTTCCATCTTACCTCTTCAATGGGAAGGTCTTGGAGTTGGGGCAAAGAACAAGACAAGATTCCAATAAGGAATGGAGTAGGTGAACACACTATGTCAATCATGGACGCTGGCAACACCGGGATGTAGGTGTGCTGCCAGGTGAACGGATACAGTGTAGCTACCACAGCATGGCCACATTTTGATAGGGTGCTAGACAGAGGGGAAAGCACATGTCACATACAGAGCAGCACACGGAACATATTCAAATAGTATGCTAAAGAATTAAATAGCAGCCGGGCGTTGGTGGCACACGCCTTTAATCCCAGCACTCAGGAGGCAGAGGCAGGCGGATCTCTGCGAGTTTGAGGCCAGCCTGGTCTACAAGAGCTAGTTCCAGGACAGCCTCCAAAGCCACAGAGAAACCCTGTCTCGAAAAACCAAAAACCAAAAACAAATAAATAAATAAATAATTAAATAGCGAGGCTGGGTGCTGGTGGTGCACGCCTTTAGTCCCAGCACACGGGAAGTAGAGGCAGGCGGATCTCTGTGAGTTTGAGGCCAGCCTGGTCTACAGAGCGGAGTTCCAGGACAGGCTCCAAAGCAATACAGAGAAACCCTGTCTTGGAAAAAAAAATTTACCCAGCGACCTCACTGATCTTCACAGACCAACAACCCTGTGAACATGTATCAATTGCTAGCAGATTGATCTCAGTCTGATTCACCACAATTCATGTTAGAAAAAACAATGCTTGCCGGGCGTTGGTGGCGCGCACGCCTTTAATCCCAGCACTGGGGGGGGGGGCAGAGACGGGTGGATCTCTGTGAGTTCGAGGCCAGCCTGGTCTACAAAGCGAGTTCTAGGACAGCTTCCAAGACAATACAGAGAAACCCTGTCTCAAAAAACCAAAAAAAAAAAGAAAAAAAAGAAAAAACAATGCTTGTCAGGCACTGGTGGTGCACACCTTTAATCCCAGCACTTGGGAGGCTGAGGCAGGGGACTCTCTGTGAGCTCAAGGCCAACCTGGTCTACAAAGAGAGTTCCAGGACAGCCAAAGCAATGCTGTTGCCAGTTTCAGGTCAACACAGAGAAACCCTGTCTCCAAAAACCAAAACAAAACAAAAAACCCAAGACCAAAACCAAAAAACAAATGTTCACATAAAAAAGCAATGCTGATATTTTTAAAGATATGGGGGATCACACTGTGTTGCCTATGCTGTCCTTCACCTCCTGGGTTCAAGTGATTCCTTTTGCCTCAGGCCTCTTGAGTAGGTGGGACACAAGTGTAAGCCACTCAGTCTTGAGCAATACCATTTTTTTATTTCTTTCTGTTTTGTTAGTTGGTTGGGTTTTCTGTTTGTTTGTTTGTTTTAAGACAGGGTCTCTGTAGCCTTGGCTGGTCTTGAACTCACAGAGATCTGCCTGCCTCTGCCTCCTGAGTATTGGGATTAAAGGTGTACGCCACTACAACTAGCCATCTTTGTAATTTTACACACAAGTCTTTACAATTTCTGTTGTCTTTGGGTGCTAGGAACTGAACCTGAGTCCTTTGCAAGAGCAACAAATTCTCTAATCACTGAGCCAGCTCTCCAGCTCCAGTTTTAGAGAGTTTAAATACAGTCCCATTGTAAAAAAGTAAACACAAGCCAAACACCAACATGAAGTAACATAGTCCACTTATTTCTTACCTTAGGCTGTTGGCAACAAAGATTACCCTTCGCTCTAAAAGGAGGGAGGCACAGACCCGGATGAGATGACACACACTCAAGCACTTGAAAAGACATTCAAAATCCACATGTTCCAGTCGTGAATCGAGTGGTCGGCAGAGTTCAACGGACTGAAATGCAAAAGAAAATCAGAAGAGCAAATGTGGGACAGCACCCCAGTAGCAGCATTTATAAACTTTCTTGCTCCTTCTTTAGTCTGGAAAAGGTCTGCTACTTGGGTCAGGTGTGGTGGCACACATTTTTAATTCTAGTACTCAAGAGATAGAAGCAGGTGGATCTCTACGAGTTCAAGGCTAGCCTGGTCTACATAGAGAGTTCCAGGTCACCCAGGCAACCTACCCTGTCTAGGAGGAAAAAAAAAGGTCTGCTACAAAGAGTTTATGAAGCTGCTGTAAATAAAGTTCAGGTAAAGTAATTCTATATACATACATACATTATACACACACACACACACACACACACACACACACACACACATACACACACATGCACAAAATAAGAAATAAAAAAAAATACAAAAACTAAAAAGAGCCGGGCAGTGGTGGCACACATCTTTAGTCCCAGCACTCAAGAGGCAGAGGCAAGCGGATCTCTGTGAGTTCGAGACCAGCCTGGTCTACAAGAACCAGTTCCAGGACAGGCTCCAAAGCCACAGAAAAAAATCCTGTCTCAAAAAACTAAAAACCAACCAAACAAACAAACACAAAACAAACAAACACAAAATAGAAAAACCATACGTACACACACATACACACACACACACACACACACACACACACACACACACACACACACACACACACACCTGTTGTTTATCATATTGAGACTGCTATACAGAGGGACCCAATCTATGTCAGGTAGGAAACCTGAGGCTAAGAATCACCAACCTCACATATTTGGTCAATGTTTCTTTGAAATTTCAAGGAAATAGAACATATTACCTTGAAAAGGTAAAACTATTCCCCCCCCCACATATGGGCTTCTGGAAATTGTGCCTTGCTGTGGGATATTTGTACACTGTGATTGGCTTAATAAAGAGCTGAACAGACAATAGCTAGACAGGAGGTATAGGCGGGACTTCCAGGCAGAGAGAGAGGAAGCAGGAGATGAATCTAAGTGTGCAAAGGAGCCAGGAGACATGCAGATGAAACAGGAGGTACAAGGTGGAAAACAGGCGATGGTACTTGATAGACTGAGTTAAGTTATAAGAGCCAGTAAGGAACAAGCCTAAGCTACAGGCTGAGCTTTCATAATTAATGATAAGTCTCTGTGAGCAGGCAATCCCCCCAAATTCTGTGCACAGTGCCTGGAGCAGTACAAGGCTTGCTTTTAGGTGACTACCAAACCTCAGTGAGACAAATTAACTTACCCCATCTCCAGCCCCAGGGAGGTAGCTTTTAACTGTGATGGTACGCCCGGGAGCTGGGAAAGGGGCTTCCATGACACTTCGCATGAATGGGTAAACAAGGGCTGGGGACATTTCTCTTCTCTTCTCTACTTCATCCAGAATCTGCATGGGGACAAAACACCAACAAACAAACAGTAATTTACTAAGACCTCAGTCCAGAAACTGATAAAAGCTCAAAGCACACATCCCAAGGCTATCTTTATACCCCAAGTTATTTGAGTCAACTTATGTTTAGAATCTACTTTAAAAAACAAATCCCCCAAATCAATTTTTAGTCTGTGTGTGCGTCTGTGTGTGTGTCTGTATGTAGGTTCATGCATGCCACGGCTCAAGTGGAAGTCAGAAAATTTGTGGGAACTGTTAGTTCTCTTCTTCCACTGGGGGTCCTGGGGATTGAACTCTGATTTTTAGTCTTGGTGGCAAGTGCCTTTACCATTTAGCCATCATACCAACCCTGAAAACTATTTTTATTTCACAAAAGGGCAATAGTATACATTGTAGACACAGACAGACAGACAGACACACACAGTGATATCCTGCAAGTTGGGTCTAGAAAAAAAGCAAGAGGCAAGATATGGAAGGATTAAGAGATAAGCAGGATTGAGGCATATGATATGAACTTCTCTAAGAATCAATAAATAACGGTGTTAAAAAGACTGCTGGGGGAGGGTCATACAATTGCCACAACACAGATATGCAGGTGAGAAGACAACTTGTGCTCATGTCTCTCCTTCCCCCATGTGGGTTCTCCAAATTCAGCTCATCAGCCTTTACCTGCTGACCCCTCCGGAGAGGCCCCGTCTGCGGCTCTTACCCTACTTGTGGAAAGCTCTACTTGTGGAGTTTCTCAAGTAGGATGTTAAAGTTGATGGTACTCAATATTCTCCAGGGAAATCGCCACCAAGAAAAACCACGTCGGACTCAGAAGCTCTTGCCCAGCGTATAGGCTTCACTCACCTTTGAGAAGAGATTGAAGCAGCCTAAGCGACTGACCATGCAGTACACCTCAGGGAACCGCTTTCCTTTGCCTTCTGGCTGGAGAAACAAACCAAGTAGAGCAAGGTTTACTGATTTCAACTATTAATGTTTAATAGACTCCTCGTGTGTGGCTGATGCTTGCCCCAGACTTCAGGCTCAAGCAATGCTCTTCAGACACCAGAGCTGGTGGACTACAGGTGTGCCCAGGCTCCTGTAATCCAGTCAGCAGGAGCGAGCCTTTCCTCCTCAGTGAGCACATACAGGCAGGGGAGGCTCCCAGGAGGAAAGCATGGTTTAGGCTTACTGCCTAAACAAGAAGTGACACCCGAAACAGGTGGCTCTCTGGACTGCATTAATCCAATGTGCCACACTGACACTCAATCTCTATGACAGGAGTCCCTTTCTCTACTGCAAAGAAACCGCTGAGTGAAACCAGTCTTTCTATTCCGACCTTCACCTTGCTCTTGCTATGTAAACTAACAGCTTCTTTTTAAAAACTTTATTTTTGTTTTATGTGTGTAGGTGTTTTGCCTGCATGTACGTCTGTGCACCATGTATGTGCAGTGCCCGGGAAGTGCCAGAAGAGGGTATCAGATCCCCTGGGACTGGAGTTACAGTCAGCTGTGAGCCGCATTCCCCATGGGTACTGGGAGTCGAACATGATCCTCTGGAAGGCCAACCAGTGTTATTAACCACTGAGCCATGACCAGCCCTAAAGCAGCTTCTTGGATGTTCACATGATTAAGTGGCCCTTGAAGTCACGTAGACAATGCTTCTCAAGTCCCTCGTAGCTTCCTTGTTCCTTGACCGACTCTGGCACCAATCTGGTACTTACCAAAAGCTTCTTACAGTAACCAAACCACCGACTTCCATCTTCACCAGTCAACACGAAGGAGAATGTTTCACTGAAAACAAAAGAAAAGAAAAAAACAGCCGTGTAATACATTACTCATAGGACAAGGAAGAGGAGTCTCTGTGATCTAAGAGGAAACGGAAACAGTAATTTATTTCAAGTCACACTCCCACAGAGTGCCCTTGTCCTGGGGTAAGGGAGTGGGTATGGGATAGGCTGTTGGTATTGCTGTCCCCTTTTGCTGAGCATCTAATTTAGCCAAACACAGGTAATCAAGCTATAAAGGATTTCATATCATTTCTCCCTTGAAAATCCTTCTGTGTTTGGTTCTGAGAGGCCATATGCAAAGACTACATCCTGGGCTGGGGAGATGGCCCATGGGAGAGAGTGCTTGCGGCACAAGCATGACCTGGATAGAGACCCATGCGTGCTGGAGTCAATCCTAGGTCCCGCGCAAGAGCGGCAGGCGCACCTTCTCCTCTAAACCATCTATGCAGCACTGAGGAATCTGCGTTCAAATGTGGTCAAATCGATTGGAAAGGAGTGTTTACAGTGCTGACTCCTGAGCAATCAGACCGCCTTTGCTTTTTATTCACTATTCTGCATTTCCTAAATACTCTAGAGCGTACACTATGCAGGGAAAGTGTCCAACCATAGCTCAGGCCAATAGGAGAGACAGCACCCACAGCTAGCAGTGCAAGTGACAGCCCAGAGCCTCAGCACCGACAGCTGAGCTATGGAGAGCTGTAATCAGGCTCAACTGGTTATGGGCGGCAGCGGCTAAGTCTAGAAGCAAGGCAGGCCTATTAGAGCAACTGCTGAGACTATCTATCTTCTAATAGGTCATCATCATGGCATGGTTCAGTTACACAAGCTTCTTCACCAAAAGGCATGATTAGTAATCACAGTTCAGTTTTTCTTGCTTATTTATATTTTTTATTTTATGTATATTGATGTTTTGCCTAGCTGAGCGTCCGTGTACCTCATCTGTGCAGTGCCCATGGAGGCCAGAAGAGGGCATCAGCTCCTCTGGGCCTAGAGGTACAGCTGCTTGCAAACTGCTGCGTGGGTGACAAGAAACTAGCTTTTGTCCTCTAGAAGAGCAGCCAGTGGTCTTAAACACTAAGCCATCTCTTCTACCCCTTGCTTGCTTGGTTTTTACAGAGTATCACTGTTTCCCAGCCTGGCTTTCAACTCTTGGGCTCAAGTGACCCTCTTGTCTTGGGACCCCTGAGTAACTAAGAGTACAGATTTGCTTTAATATACCCAGATTATGGTATTTACAAAAGCTGGCTTTGAGGCAGGTGTGGTGATGCACACCTCTAATATCAGCATTCAGGAGGCATCGGTCAGTGGATCTCTGTGAGTCTGAAGCCACCCTGGTCTACATGTCAAGTTCTGGGCCAGGCAGGGCTACATTTTCAGTCTCAACAAACAAAAACAAAGCAGGATTTGGAAATGACAATTGTTTTAGAAACTAAAATTGGTATTCTCCTCTAGATACCTTAAATAAATTCCTTTTTAAAGATTTGTTATTATTATTGTTTGTTTGGTTTTTGTTTTGTTTTGTTTTTCGAGACATGGTTTCTCTGTGTTGTTTTGGAGCCTGTCCTGGAACCCGCTCTGTAGACTAGGCTGGTCTCGAACTCACAGAGATCCACCTGCCTCTGCCTCCCGAGTGCTGGGACTAAAGGTGTGTGCCGCCACCGCCTGGCTTATTTTTATTATTTTTAATGCACACATGTGAGTATGAATGCCCTTGGAGAATAGAGACGCAGGATCCTCCTGGAGCTGGGATTACAGGCAGCTGTGGGGCACTGAGAACAAGACTCGGGTCCTCTGCAAGCGTAGTACTTGGTCTTAGCTACTGGGACATTCCTCCAGCCCCACACAGTCCTTTAATGCTTCAGTTGTCCACACCTATCAAGCTGGAGTCTCCCTCTGTACAAGGACCATAAGGGAACACAGACTACAGGCTATGGCTTCTTCTATGGACTTGAAGGAGAGATAAGATGACGACAGTTTTTCTGTTTGGCAGTTTCTAGGTTTAACCCCAAGATACAAGTGTAGTGTCCTCCCTCCCCTCCGCCCACTGACTTCGGGCCTTTTCTTACTGCAGGTGATGTGGACCCATTTTGCTCTACAGAACTGGTGAACTAAAGATACACAAACTTGTGTTCCTCTCTCCTGAACCCTCATAGGAAACACTGCTGCCCCAGCTCAGCTCTACCCCTGACTCCCATCTGTCACAAACGCTGACTCTATGCATGGCTCCAGCAAACTGAAGTCAGAAGGGGCCAACTCACCTCTTGAGTTCCGAGGTTGGCACCCAGTCCTTTGAATCAGGAAAACAAAATTTGGGGATGACTTTGAGCCTCTCTTCAGTGTCTTTGGATTGCTTATAGCCATGATCACCCTGAAAAGAATAATACCACAGAACATCAACCTATGAAAACAGGGAACAGAAATTTAAAAAAAACAAAGCCTCAGTCTGGTCTTGGGGAAGCCTGATGTATCCTGTAGAGGTTTCCCTCAGTGTGACTTTGTGCTGAACATTACAGAAGGAGAAGACTGAAAATCTCGACTGTGCACTGAGGACCAGCGCTAAGAACAAAGAATCCCATTTGATACAACACAGAATGGACCTAGTGAGACCCTGGTGAAGCCCTGTAATTCACAGTAAGAGAGGCAATGCCGAAGAACTTTTCACCCAGAGGATTGTCAAACTGGTGGGAATCCAGTGTTATATGAATCATGGAATTTAAGATAAATAAAAATCCCTTCTATTATATAGCAAAAACACAGCCAAGTTTTCTGCACTCTCTGGTTAATAATCAAGAATGCTTTAAAAAGACAGATAAATGTTATTTAGAAAAGATACTATTTTTAAATGTTACCCTGTATATAATCATTCTCTTAGCTTTGCCACCTAATTATAGGTTTGCAACTTCCTCTAAAATGTTAGCATGAAAAACTCTTACAAAAGTGTGGTGTAAGTCAGTCATGGTGTCATCCACCTATAACCCTAGTTCTTGCAGTGGGGGAAGGAGAATTAGGAATTCAAGACCAAGCTTGGCTACATAGAGAACTCAAGGTCAGCCTGGGCTACCCCCTGCTTCGAAATAGTAACAAACAAAACGTGGTATTGTATTTCAAAATGTAGTCTAAATTTAGTTCAATGAAGACTTCAGAAATGAGCAGAACTATCTATGAAACAGCACAGAAGGCTTATTAGCTCTCTGTACATTTCCTTCTTTAAAAACTATGCACCAGGATTGGTGAGATGGCTCAGCTATTAAAGGCCCACAACCAAAACATAAACATGCACCTAAGCCCAGCACGTGGAAAGCAAAGACAGGGGGATCTCTGTGAGTTTGAGGTCACCCTGGTTTGCAGGGTGAGTTCTAGGACAACCAGGACTGCACAGAGAAACCCTGTCTTGAAAAACAAAACAACAAAAACAAAATGCACCTATTGTATGTCACTGGGATGTTCCACTCTGAAAACAACAGGACAGCATTAGGCCTGGGAGCTGAGCTCCCAGAGTACCTGCCTAGCATGCAGGTAACCTTGATCCCAGCACTGGATGTGAAAAAAAGTCCCTAACACATTTTATTAGTTGTAACATGGTGTATTCCCAATCATCTTCAGCCAAGGTGTTCCATACCAGTCCAGATAGGGTCCCACAGGGCTCACTTCATCCCCCTAATTGATGAGCATTGGAGTCACAAAAATAGCAAGCAATTTACTCAGAGGCATTCTTTTTTATTACTTATTTTACTTTTAATCATGGGTATGCCCGTGTATCCTTGTGTGGGTATGTGCACATGAGTGTGGTGGAGGACAGAGGAGAGCACTGGACTCTTGAGTACTAGAATGACGGTGGTTTTGAGTCATCTGACACGGGTGCTGGGAACTGAACTCTGGTCCTCTGCAAGAGCAGCAGTTGCTTTTAGCCACTGAGCCACATTTCCAGCCCCATTGGAGGCATCCTTGAGTGATTTCTTGAGGGAAGTATGGCCTTCTCTGGTAATACACCTATTATTCAAGCTTAGCTTTGCTGTAAAATTAATTACCCCCCAGTGTGTGTGTGTGTGTGTGTGTGTGTGTGTGTGTGTGTGTGTGTGTGTGTGTGTGTGTGTGTGTGTGTGTGTGTCAGAGCCTGTTGCACCCTTCCCCCATGGGGGTCTGTTGACTGCTTGCTACTAGGGGCTTTTAGCAAAACATTTCTCATCCCCTCCTCCAAGTAAGGCCTGCATGCAAGTTCCTGTTTATTGTCTAAATGCTAATTCCTGTTTTTGGCCCACCCCTTTGCGGGAGGGCCCTGGGAACATAGGCTTCTGACCTTGGTGTTTTTCCACCATACCTGCCTTTGGTATATAAGGCTCTATTCTTGTAATAATAAATGCCATTCTCCTTGCAAGAATGAGCTGCTGTTTTTGTCTTTATTTTCATCCTTAGCCCTTAACCTCAAATAGTTGTGAAGTATGGTAGCACTGTTGCTGCGAACACACTGGCAGCTCGCTGCAGGAGCCAGCCTGAGCTACATATTTGAGTTGAAGGCTAACCTACACTACAGTGTAAGAATGTTTAAAAGAAAAAGCCAAAAAGTTCCTATAGATAGGTTACTTAAGGATATTTATTCAGACTATGATAGTATCTCACAGGAATTGTGAAACAAACATAGCACTCCTACTGAAGAGTTTTATGGGAAATTTGATTTTTATAGTTACTCACTGTTGGGATGTTTCTAAGGTTCTCCCCTTCCCTTCCCCTGGTTCTTCTTTGAAATAAAATCTTACTACACAGCATAGGCTGGCCTCAAACTCCTGATATTTCTGCTTTTACCTCCTAAGAGCTGGGATTACAGGCATGTTACCACACCTGGCTGTGTTGAAGCCATTTAAAAATGGGAACATATGCAGGCAACCTCTCTTAGATTCCAGGACAGTTGTGCTTCAGTGGCTCTGGTGAAACACGCTGCAATTCAGGGCTGCAATTCAGGGTTACAGATCCACAGTCCTAGAGTGGCCGAGTGCTTACCCTGAATAAGAGGTATTACCTGGCCACAGTGGCTCATGGGAGGTTGAGGCCAGCCTAAGCTACATAGTGAGTTCCAGGCCAGCCTACTTTGTCTCAGAAGAACCTAAGAAGTGATATGGTGCAAATAACAAAACAGAAAGTGAGTGAATGTTCCTAAGGGTCCCTCCATATCCATGCTGAACACATAATTCACAGAGAATACAAAATATAAAAAATTAAAATGTAAGCCTTTCTCCTTTCATATGTAGTCTGTGAACCTGCAATGGTTTTATTTGCTGTTTAATGTCACACTGCCCAGAGTTCATGGGGATGGGGGGTGGGGGTGTCAAGTGCACACCCACAGACAGCTGACTGAATGAAGAAGCCTTTGCGAGACAGGCAGAGACACTTAAGAACAGTGTAAGTATCAGCTAGGCTGGACCTGGTGGCTCCCAGCACTTAGGAAGCTGAAGCAGAATTATCCAAGGAAAACTTGGGTAAGATCCTGTCTCAGTGTTGGTAAAAAATGGCAGAGACAACAGAAAACAAGAGGACCCTTCTGGGACTTGCTGGCCACCTTGTACCTACCTTGCTAGGGAACTGCTGTATGACCTGGGGAACGTAGTCTGTCCCCGATGGCTTCTTCTGCAGAGAAACCACCACGAAGAGTTCAAAGAGCTGCTGTTCCTGCAGCTCGATAAGATCCCGCTCCAAGGTCTGGTAGTGGGGGTTCCTCTTGGAGGGCTGCAGCAGCTGTGCTAAGCGCTTGTGGCGATCTGCAAGGAGGCCACATGTCAGGTTCCCTGTGCCCTTCCCTCTAGCTGCACAAGTCATGGCACTCGCAGGGAGAATCCTTTGTGGCCATGTGTTGGATGAACGTGGATAAGTACACAAATATTCCTGTTTGGGCTATGACATGTGAAAGGACAGTGAGCAGGGGTCCTATTCCACCTCTAGCAAGCAGTGGGACTGACATCCATGTCCTAAGTTGATATACTGTATATCTGTAGCACACATTCTATTATATGTTACAAAAACCCTACACGGCAGTGTACCAGGACACATACAAAATGTCCAGGAAAAGATACTAGACTGACACAGATGCCATTTCTTGTGATGCTATGAAAGCATGGAAGAGGGGAGGATTTAACAGAAAACTGAGTCCTACACAGAGACTAAGTACAGGCAGGCAAAACAAAACCAAAGTCAACCTCACATTAAAGAACCATTCTTATACCTTCTCCTCGGTTTGGATTTCTAAGAGATGGCTCAGAGGTTAAGAGTGAGTACTGTTCTTCCAGAGGACCCAGCTTGGTTCCCACCACCATACCAGGTGGCTCAAAACTGCCTGTAGCAGCAGCTCCAGGGCATCTGACACCTCTGGCCTCTGTGGGCACCTGAGCTCACATGCACACACTCCTACACACATAATAGTAAAATACATCTGAAATAAAATGTAAACACCAATCATGTAGACTTCTGGAACAGAAGATCTAACAATAAAGCCTGGAAGCTACAACCACCTGATTCTTCTTTTTTAGGCGGGGGCATTTCAAGACAGGGTTTCTCTGTGGCTTTGGAGCCTGTCCTGGAACTTGCTCTGTAGACCAGGCTGGCCTTGAACTCAACAGAGATCCGCCTGTCTCTGCCTCCCGAGTGATGGGAGTGTGCCACCTGATTTTTGACAAAGGCATTAAAATACAAATGGGGGGGCTCTTTAATAAAAGATGCTGGGAAAGCTGGATATTCATCACATAAGAAAGGATGAAACAGAGCTGGAGAGATGGCTCAGCGGTTAAGAGCACTGGTTGCTCTTCCAGAGGACCTGGGTTCAAAACCCAGCACCCACATGGCTGCTCACAACAGTCTATAATAAGATCTGATGCTCTTGTTTGGCCTGCAGGCATGCATGCAGACAGAACACTGTACACATAATAAATAAATAAATAAATCTTTAAAAAGAAAAAAGAAAGGATGAAACTAGACCCCTATCACTCCATGAAAACCTATTCAAATGGATCAAAGATCTTAATGCAAGACAGAATCTGAACCTGCTAGACAAAGTCACGGGGGAAACACTTCAAGACACAGACAGTGACTGTTGAATAGGGCATGTCTGACTAAGGAAGTAAGAGCAAGAACGAATAAATCAGATTGCAAGAACTTAAAAAAGTGTTTGAGCAGCAAAAGAAGACAACCACTGAGCAGAAAAGCTCTGCCAAATATTCATCTGAAGACTAACAGCTAGGACACACAAAAACCAACAAAGCAGACAATAGTTCAACTGTGCAACAGATGAAACATACTTTTCAAACCAAGAGACACGTATGGTCAAAGAAAGTCTGTGAAAGAATGCTCAACCTTCTTGGCCACCAGAAAAATGAAATCACAACCATATTGAGACTGTCATCTCCTCCCCTAGACATGGTGACTTTTTCCACGAAATAAGTTACACTGTGGCTCAAGATGTCAGGAACTTCTTTAAAACTACAATCAGGAATGCTTCCCTAGAAACACTCAGTTTCCTGGATGTTCTGGGAAAAGGTGTGCTGACCCTCCAAAGGGCTAAGTTCAAGTCAAGACACATTGGGTCTTGCTTCTCATTAGCAACTGCAGTAAATTACTCATCCTTACACATCAGTGCTGAACCCCATGACGCTCTAAGTTTCATCTTTAGTCAGGCTACAAAATCCAAAACCTGGAGCAGTTTAGGCCAGCGGAGAAGCACAAGGCTGTTACTCATGAGATTAGTGTCAGGGCTGCCCTGCATTCGGCTTTGATAACCTGTGACTCCTGCTCTTCGTGTTGCTGTGTGTCAGCCAGTTAAACAAGAACTAAAACTAAACCTGCTGTGACAATTCATTAAGTGCTCGCACAAGTAAGAGCCAGAAGTACATGGATTCCGAACCCCAATATGAACCACATAATAATTTGGACTAGAAGTACCTACATGTAAATGTCAATCTCCTTTCTTAATGGCAGAGATAGAAAATGTACTTAAGAGTTACCCTTGGGTTACTAGAGAAAAATCAGCTATTTTGGGCTAAGTACTTGTGGATGAGGGTGACTCACACACTCTTGGCTGCTATAAACTGCACATGTCTGGACATGCGGTGCTGCCCTGCTCCCTCGAGAACTCGTCTTCAGAGCCATCCTGGTTTACCTCACTCCACTAAAAGAGATTTGTCATGTTGTCAAACAGCTGAATGTACTATTTAGCTCCGCAAATCTCAACAGGGCCTGAGAATGAAGCAATGGCCTACAGAGTGAACTTCACACAGGGAAAAGCACGCTTAATCACAAAGGCAGGCGGTGCTCCACCCGAAGCCAGGGCGATGGAAGGGCGCAGCCCGCTGACTCACTCACTCTTTGGCAGGTACTCGCCATCACTCTCGTTCCCACTGGTTTCACCTGGAAAAAAGGAAGAGAGGGAGAGTTTCCGTCTGTATTGTCTAGTAGTAGGAAGCACGTGAGGGCGAGAACGATGGGAAACTGTCACAGTCTGGGACCTTGAGTGAGGGATGAGGGTCAAGTTAGTAAAGGTCAAATTAGCACAGCTGTTGAAAGACAGAAACGTGAAAAAGATTTTTTAAAAAGGCAAGGACTCAGAGGCAGAGCACTACTCTTACAGTTTGCAGATCCTCAAAAATGACTTTTAAAGAAGCAAATTAAAACTGGGTATGAGCCGGGCGTTGGTGGCACACGCCTTTAATCCCAGCACTCGGGAGGCAGAGGCAGGCGGATCTCTGTGAGTTCGAGGCCAGGCTGGACCGACAGCCTCCAAAACAGAGAAACCCTGTCTCGTAAAAAACAAAAAAACAAAAACAAAAAAAACAAAAAAAACTGGGTATGATGGTTTTTGTCCTTAGTCCTAGCACTTTGAGAGGCAGAGGCAGGTAGATCTCTGTGAATTTGAGGTCAGCCTCAAAAGAGTCCCAGGCCAGGCAGGGGGCTACATAGTGAGGTTTCTCAACAAGAGAAAAAAAAAGGCTGTCAGTTTAATCCTAGGATCATATGGACAACCAACTCTCAGAAATGTCCTCTGACCTCTAAATTCACACCATGGCACCTACACCACACAGACACACACACACACATACACACAGACACAGACACACACACACACAAATAAAATGCAATAAATAGTTGGTTTTTTTTTTTAGGGAACTTCTAGATTAGGTCTAAAAAATTAAAACCAACTAAAAATTTCAAATCAAGAGAAAGATCTTTAAATGTATCAGGAAAATAAGAGCCAAACACTTATAAATCAAAAGTATTGTAAATTGGATTACATAACATTTTGAAATTAAGTCAGGTCTAGTGGCCACACCTGTAACCTAGTGCTTGACAGTACAAGAAGATCAAGGGGGTGGAGAGATGACTCAATGGTTAAGAGCACTGGCTGTTCTTCCAAAGGTCCTGAGTTCAATTCCCAGAGACCATATGGTGGCTCACAACCATCCATAATGAGATCTAGTGCCCTCTTCAGGTATGCAGACATACATGCAGATAGAACACTGCATATATCTAAAAAATTTTCAGAAAAAAAAGAACAACTCAGTAGTAAACTCAAAAACTAGAAAACAAATTGGGAAAATATTGTAAGTGTACAGAAGACACAAGACCTTTTTCTTCTTTACTGTGTTTTTTAAGACAGGGTCTCATTCTGTAGCCCAGGCTAGAATAGAAATTCACTGTGTAGCACAAGCTGGCCTCAAACTCGAGGAAATCCTCCTACTTCAGCCTCCCAAATGCTGGGATTAAGGATACATATCACCATGCCCAGCAGCTTAAAACTAAATTTCTTCTTTTGTTTTTTCGAGCCAGGGTATCTCTCTTCTCTGTGTAGTTCATTCTATCCTCAACCCACAGAGATCCTCCTGCCTCTGCCTTCTGAGTGCTTGGATTAAACGCATCTGCCACAATATTTGGATCAAAATATTTCTTAATATTTGACTAGCTATCACAAATCAAATGGAAAAAAGAACATGGAGAAGGAAATTAGCTCAGTTCGTAAAATTCATGCAGCACAAACATGAGGGGGCTGAGTTTGAGTCCCAGAATCCACTAAAAAGTCAGATACAGTGGTATATGCTTATAATCCCATCCCGGGACTCACTAGCCAACCAGCATAGCCTACTCAGTGAGGTTTAGGCCAGTGTAATACTCTGTCTCAACAAAAAAAGGAGATTGGACCACCTGGCTTCCACACCTGTTATGGAATATTATTTTAACTAGGCAAAGATGTGCTACATTTGTTTATGCTGCATCTGTTTAATGATGGAAGGATGTGTGTTTAATTATGTAAAGATGTGTTGCATTTGCTTCACCTTGCCTGCCTAAGGCACCTGATTGGCTTATTAAAGAGCTGAACTGCCAATAGCTAGGCAGAGAAAGGCTAGGCATGGCTGGCAGGCAGAGAGAGTAAATAGGAGGAGAAACCTAGGCTTAGGAGGAATGAGAGACAGGAGGAGAGAACAGGAGGCCAGCCAGCCAGCTGCCAGCCAGCAGACATGAGAAGAAGTGAAAATAAGACACAGAAGGAAAGAAAGGTAAAAAGTCTCGAGGCAAAAAGTAGATAAAGAGAAACAGGTTAATTTATGTTAAAAGAGCTAGTTGGAAATGAGCCTAAGCTAGGTGGAGCATTCAAAACTAATAATATCTCCATGTAATGATTTGGGAGCTGGTTGGTGGCCCAAAGGAAAGAAAGCCTGGTACATATACACATATAAGAAAAAGAGCACATGGCAGAAAAATGGTAAATGGTTAGGAATAGGCAATTCACATAAAAGATGTATAAATTATTGATAAATATGAAAACTTTCCCAAGTTCATAATGAAAATAAATTAAAACAACAAATAAGATAATATATTCTAGGCCGGGCGGTGGTGGCGCACGCCTTTAATCCCAGCACTCGGGAGGCAGAGGCAGGCGGATCTCTGTGAGTTCGAGGCCAGGCTGGACCGACAGCCTCCAAAACAGAGAAACCCTGTCTCGTAACCCCCCCCAAAAAAGATAATATATTCTAAACATTAGCAAAAAATTATTAATCTACTTTTGAAGATTATGGGAAAGTATATTCAAATGTTGTTTGCAGAAACAGGCTATTACCAGCTGTCTTCAAGACAATTTGGCAATAGCTATAAAAACATTTTATTTTAGTTTTTTGAGACAGGGTCTCACTCTGTAGCTCAGGCTATTCTGGAACTCACTACATAATCCAAGATGGCTTGAATTCACACAATCATCTTGCCTCAGTCTCTCCAGTACTAGAATTGTTTTATGTCCATAGAGTCTTTGATCAAGTGAATCTACTACAAGGATCTTAGTTTACAAATACAATACACAAAAGTAAGTAAAAGAATGAGCACTGGGACTGGAGAGATGGCTCAGTGGTTAAGAGCACTGGCTGCTCTTCCAGAGGTCCTGGGTTCAATTCCCAGCACCCACATAGAAGTTTACAACTGCCTGTAACTCCATTTCCAGGGTACCTGACACCCTCACACAGACATACATGCAGGCAGAACACCAATGCACATAAAATAAAAATAAATTAATTAAAAACATTTAAAAAATAAGCACTTCGATATTATTTGAATATACATGTATGTAAATCTTTATAGACAGCTTATCTCCATAGGTTAAGTATGTTAGAAACAACCAAAATGTCTACCAACCAGATTTAGAAAATTGAAGTGCTGGGATAGAATGAGGGTCTCACTGATCAGCATAAACACCACAGTTGAAACTTTCATTTCTATACCATGTACAGTAGAGCTCTCAGGGTCTCTATGTGTGGATATTGAAAGAGTTTTTGAGGTACATTAATTAAGTCTTTTTAAAAGGAAAGCACAGGATAAAAGTTTGAATAATAAGAGCCGGGCGTTGGTGGCGCACGCCTTTAATCCCAGCACTCGGGAGACAGAGGCAGGCAGATCTCTGTGAGTTCCAGGCCAGCTTGGACAGCCTCCAAAACAATACAGAAAAACCCTGTCTTGAGAAAAAAAAGTTTGAATAATATAAAACTATTTATACAGAAAAAAGTCATTAGGGGCTGGAGAGATGGCTCAATGGTTAAGAGCACTTTCTGTTCTTCCAAAGGAGTTTGATTCAATTCAAGTACCCATGTCAGGTGACTCACAATCACCTACAATTCCAGCTCCAGAGGAGTTTATACCCACTTTGGCCTCCTTAGGTACCTGAATATATGTGGCACACACACATACATATGATTAAAGACAATTTTTTTTTTGAGACAGGATTTCTCTGTATAGCCCTGGCTGTCCTGGAACTTACTCTGTAGAACAGGCTGCCCTCAAACTCACAGAGATCCGCCTGTCTCTGCCTCCCTAGTGCTGGGACTAAAGGCACGTATCACATCAACCAGTTTAAAAATAAAATTTGTTGAGACTCTGCAGGAATATGAAAAGCTCTGGGTTGTAACACATGAAATTATAATGACGAAGCTGAAGAAAAGCAGTTTCCTTTTGCAACAACTGAGACAGGAAGCTAAGAAATGCTCAGGTTGGAGGCACCCAGTAACCCAGGGCTGAAATGCAGAACAGGCACATGTAATTATCCAGGCCCATTAGGTGTTGCTGGACAGAGAGATGAAATCTGAGCACTGTGCCGGACAGAGTTAGGAGCTCCTCAGACAGAATCCAAACTCCTCACGTCCACTGCAGGCTGTCTCAGAAGCTGGGGGAATGCTAACTTCCTTCAAGCTACAAAGGAAATCAAGCCTGATATAGAACCTCTAGGGATTGTTCCTTTTCAATAATTATTTTTTGTTTTTGGTGCTAGAAGTTGGCAATTTAAGATGCTGACAATTTTTTCCCCAATGATACAATTTTTAAAAAAGCAAAATGTGACTGCTCAGAACCTTGTCCTGATCAGGTATGAGGTTCCTGTAGTCTGGAACATTCTAGAGGCCACACAAGATGAATTACTTAAGCCCTAGGAGTTTGAGGTCAACTTGAGCAACACAGAGAGATACATCTCAAAACACAAACTTTACCTGAAGAGTCAAAATTTACTAAAATCTCAAATCATAAGCATAAAAACATAACCAACTCAGAGTGTTATATACAGAACAGAAAGTAGTTACCAATTTTAGGCTGTTGTTAATCTGAATGGCAGTTATTTTATACTTAATTAAAAAACTTTGTTTTGTGTGTGAGTTTGTATGCTGCAGCACACATGTGGTCAAGAATAACTTTTTGTGAACCGTTTCTCTCTTTTCGCCTTTTGTTGGTTTTTTGAGACAGGGTCTTGCTGTTTGTTACAGCACTGTATTCTCCAGGCTAGCTAGGAGTGGTCTGGGAGCACTGCCCAATTCTCCTGTCTCCCATCTCACTGTAAGAATGCTGGGATTACAGACATGCACTACTGTGTCCTGCTTTATAAGGACATGGTGGTGCACACCTTTAATCCCAGCCCTTGGGAGGCAGAAATGGCCAGCCTAGTCTCCACTGTGAGTTCCAGGGCAGCCTAGGCTATGTAGAGAGCCTGTCTTTAATACACATATATAGTCAGTTTCTAGCACCCAGCTTTTTATGTGGACTCAGGAAATACACTCATGTCACCAGGCTTGTGTGGCTAGGACTTTTACATGCTAAGGCATTTCCCTGGGCCAGGACAATGGTGATGTTTCACAAGCACTTGTTCTGGACCCAGCATCTTGGCATTTTATATAATCTGCAGCTTAAAATTTACTTCCTTATCTATAAATCAATAGTATTTGCCACATAGGATTTAGAAAATCAATAATAATGCATTAGAAAAAAAATCTAACAATGCCTGGTGTCAGCTTTTATTTTCTGTATCTCGGTCTGAATTGTACTAACAAGAAGCTCTTTTTTGATGCCTTTGCTGGGGATAAGGAAACACAGAGGAGACAACTGTCTAAAATTCAGTATGAATGGCTCTTGACTCAAATCCACACTTCCTGGCTCAGCTTCTCCAGATGTGGACAGGATAGCCCCAACCTTAATGTGGCATTACAAATGAGATGAAATCTTTTTTTGTTTGTTTGTTTTTGTTTTTCGAGACAGGGTTTCCCTGTGGCCTTTGGAGGCTGTCCTGGAACTAGCTCTTGTAGACAGACCAGGCTGGTCTGGAACTCACAGAGATCCACCTGCTTCTGCCTCCCCAAGTTCTGGGATTAAAGGCGTGGGCCACCGCTGCTAGGCTGAGATGAAATCTTTAAACAATTATTTTATTTAATAAATATTAGGTGTTACTGATAATAACAGCCAAAGGTATTTCATTCCCAGAGGAGAATGAAGCATGTCTAGATATTTCCCTTTGAAAACAGGATGACATAGGCTAGGGAGCTGCCCCAGTAATTAAAGTGTTTGTCATGCAAGCAAGAGGATGGTGAGTTTGGATCCCCCAACCCATGTAAATGCTAGGTGGTCATGTCAGATCACCTGTCACTCAGACATACAGCTGTGTGTGTGTGTGTGTGTGTGTGTGTGTGTGTGTGTGTGTGTGTGTGTCCCTCATTTAGCAAGTGAGACTGTCTGCATCAGAGAGCTCTGGGTTTAATTAAGAGGTCCTGCCTCAAAGGAATAAGGTAGAGGAATGATAGCGGGGAGTCATCATCTCGGGCCTTCACTGGAACATACACACATGAGCACACATATACACATGCACATCACACATGAAAACAAGAAAAAGAAAAGACACTGGGAAAACACATTAAACATGGCAACTGGTTCATCGTGTTGTTCTTTTAGCAGGACTGGATCAAAACAAGTCTTACCCAGTAAGAACAGTCTACGGAATCCAGATAATTCCACCTTTATATAATTAAGTTGTTTCAACATAGAGTCTACTTGTAAATGAAATTAAGACATTTCTCTTTGTGAATCTGTAAAAATAAGAAACCCTGTCCTCTGACAGGACTGTCTCACTCAGGAGCTTTATATTTCTCTCTTAGACAGCTGAGCTAAGCTCTCATGAGACTGTCCTGTGGTAGTTAGTGCTGAAGGTGGACGCAGGGTCGTCCAGTGCGACAGGCAGTACCCATCATCTAACCACATCCCAGCCCTCACGGGGTTGTAAGAAATAACACCTCCCCAGAGAGCCTGGGCTGGCCTGGAACGTCAATTCCTGTCTCAGCCTCTCTAGCGCCAGGACTACAAGTGTGCTCCACCACACCCAGCCCTTCTCACAGGAGTAACTATGAAAACACCTATCATTTCTTGTGAATATTCCAACTTTCTTAGTTTTATCTAGCCATCTGCATGATAAACTACGGAGCTTCAGAGATGTGGTACAAGTTGGGTACAGCATGTCTGCTGGCCACGGTGGTGCATGTCTGTATCCGGCACCTGGGAGGCTGAGGCAGAGGAACTCCAAGTTCCTGGCCAGCCTGAGCTAAAGAGCAAGACTCTACCTCAAAAAAGGACAAACAAGAGGTTAAAATGAAAGTACAAAATAATTACTCAGACTTTAAGAAATGCACTCTCATTGGTTTATATTTGTTTTATTTATTTACTCACACAATACTTTTTACTTTGAATTAACTAAGAAGGAATTGGAAGACGGTCCTTGAAGAGCTGAGTGTGAATGTGGTGTCTCATACTTGTAATCCCAAAAGCTAGTAGGCTGAAGCAAAAGGCTCATCACAAGCTCATGGTCAGTTGAGATACATAGTGAGTTCCAGGCCAACCGGAACTTGAGTGAGACTCTGTCTAGTCAGACACTAAGTTATGCAACAATGTGTTACCGTGGATTGAATGTAAAATGTTCCCCCAGAAGCTCATGGTTTGAATGCTTGCTCCTGGCTGCTGGCACTTTTCTGTGCAGCTGTGGAAACGTTAGGAGGTAGGGTCTGGTTGACAAAAGTAGGATATAACCCCAGTCCTGGCTTCTTCCTAGCTATTTCCTAGTCTGCTGCGTGCTCCTGCCACCATGAATTGACATGACGGACAGAGCCCTCTGAAACCTCGAGCCAAACAAATCTCGCCATCCATAAGTTGTGCCTACCAGATAAGTCGGTCACAGCAGTAGGCAACTAACATGTATGGTAACGCTAAAAACCGATGAATAAATGTGGCCCTTACCTTTGGAGGAAGCAGTAGGCAACTAACATGTACAGTAGGCAACTAATATGTACAGTAACGCTAAAAACAGAAGAGTAAATGTGGTCCTTACCTTTGGAGGAAGGTGCTTCTTTTCCAGTGTAAGGCTGTAACTTTACCCTCTTCTTCCCTCTCTTAGATTCAAATGTATCATTTATTTTCAAAACAAGCTGAAAAAAAAAGACAAGAAAATTACAAAGATGGTTATAATTATAAAATTACAAAGATGGTGGTCAATGCCACACCACCAAGGTTCTCTGCAAGACTGGCATTAATAAAGTAAATGGTTTTTTTTTTATGTAAAATTCACTTCGAGTAACAAAAACCTTCCCATTTTCAGTTTTGGATTAAAGTGGTATCATTAGATGATGTGTGTTCTCAGTGTCCACAAACCGGGGAAGGAAAGTGCTAAGGTCCCTGCCCTTCCAGATGAGTCGAGTCCAGCGTCTTGAGGCGACTCTGTCACTCCGTGTCACAACACGCAGGGTGTGCTACTGCGCTGCCCACGGTGATTAAGACCTTGCTCAGGTTTTCACTTGCTCAGAGCAGGAAGGGAACAGTCACCCACTGCAGGGTGGGGCTTAGTTATTTCTGTTCCCAGGAGCTTCTCTCAAGAGGAGGTCATCACACTCTTGTCGAAAGAAGCACACTCTTCGCCACAGTGGGTATAAAGCTACAACTTATTTTAGAGATGTCCTACAAATGGGAGACTCTCAAATTACCCCATACAAAACTAAGCTTTCCTCCCACTCCACTCATCAATCTGTACCTCAAGCAACTGCAATCAGATCATTTATTTCTAAGTCATTTTATAGCTGTTTCTACTTAGTAAGCACTACTCAGAATTCTTTCCTAATCTTGGGGGAAAGGTGAGAGAGTCAGACAGACAGCGGTGCACAGACTGGAAAGAAGAAAGGGTCAGAGCTGTGACATCAACAGACATTTCACAACAGGGAGCTGATTAGCTTTTCTGTGCCTACTCTTTTCTTAAGGTTCCAAGCTGAAGTATTGATCTTGACTTATCACATTGTCTAAACAGAACTGTTAAGCATACTGTATGATCAGAGTCCAGACAGTTGAGGGGAGTTCTCATGTTTTCACGTGTCCTTATAGACTTAGCAACAAGCTGAGTTAGTCCACTACAAGCAAAAGCACTGAAAAACACATGCAGGCCGTCACAGCTCTAGACAAACTTGCTCTCCTCGAGGATTTCTGTAGCTGCCACTCAAGTGAAAAATTGCCAGCGTTTTTCAGTGTTGCCTTTACAAAAAAGTAAGCAGGAGAATCAAAAGTATGGCCACAAATTTGGAAGGAAACTACTGTTCTGGGAATATCAGATTAAGTGGCAACTTAAAATTCTGGTTCTGAGCTAGGATGAGGAGCTTACACCCAGTCTGCAGCTGCAGCAATCACTATAGAAAGACAGAAAGGACAGAGAGCAGTGCCTTTCTTGCCAGCCACAAACACTAAAGCACCAGGGGAGGCACTAGCAATTCCACACAGGCTTCCACAGCAGGGAAAGGAAGGAAGGGTGGGGCCAGGCATGTAGATTAGATCAGAAAGCAAGTTCCCTCCCAGGGACAGCTGCAGTCATCAAAGCGGGCAGGAATGAAAACTGCTTCTATTATCAAATGTCCCTAAAGACACTAAAAAAAAAACAAAATTTGTATTGCATTTGGGACATCCTAAGAGGACTCAACATCTTCTTATAATGTTTATTTTTATTAATTTTGAATGTATGTGTGCAAGCACTTGTGGGTTTGTGCAGGTGAGTGCAGCTTCCTGAGGAGGCCAGAGGTGTTAAATCCTCTGCGAGCAGAATTACATGTGGTTGTGAACTGTCCGATGTAGGTGCTGGGAAGTGTACTTGGGTGCTCTGAAAGAGCCATATGGCTCCTAACACCCGAGCCCTCCCTCCAACCCCTTAAAGGGATTTACTCTTGAGAGACACAGGTAGTGCTAACGGCTTCTTTCCACTCAGCAATGGAGTACATCACCAGCTTGGGAAATAGTGGCAGACATCTGCCTACAATCTCGCTAGTGAACTGAGAAGGCCAAAGCTGAAGGATGGCAGTTCAAAGTCAGCCTGGGATACACAGCGAGGATGTCTTTTAAAAAAGGAAGAAAAGGGCTGGACAGATGGCTCAGGGGTTAAGAACACTGAAGACTCTCCCAGAGGACCCAGGTTTGATTCCCAGCACTCACAAGGCAGCTCACAACTGTCTGTAGTTCCAGTTCCATGGCAAAATACCAATGCACATAAAAAACAAGAATAAATTTTAAAAAAGAAAATATTTTTTTAAAGAAAGGGAAAAAAAAAGAACACCATTTTATTTTCCTTTAGTTTCTAAAAACTTTGGGGAAAATTCAGATCTGGGGATACAGCCAGGCAGTGGTGGTGCATGCCTTTGTGCCAGGGATACACAGAGAAACCTGTCCTGATAATACAAAACAAACCCCACCCCCTAAAAAAAAATCAAGGTCATTTTCAATCACATAGTGTTGTTTCAAGACCAGCCTGAGATACATGAATCTTTGTCTCAACTTCTTTTATTTTATTTTTTCAAAGAAAAGGTAAGAGTTGGTCCTATCACTTGTTATTAGAAAGTGAATCAGCAGCCGGGCGTTGGTGGCGCACACCTTTAATCCCAGCACTCGGGAGGCAGAGGCAGGCGGATCTCTGTGAGTTCGAGGCCAGCCTGGTCTACAGAGCGAGTTCCAGGACAGCCTCCAAAGCCACAGAGAAACCCTGTCTCGAAAAAACCAAAAAAAAAAAAAAAACCCAAAAACAAACAAACAAACAAGCAAAAACAAAACAAGAAAAGGAGCGACAGAGAGAGAGAGAGAATCAGCTTCTGGTATCAGACTCCACAGCCCTTCACACAGCGTGACGGGAAGGTGACTGGAAGTAAGTGCTTGAAGAAGGAACCACACTGCAGACTCATCAGCTTTCTCTTGCTTGTTCTTCCCTGACGCAGAAGACTGAATCCAGGGTCTCACACAAGGAGGACAACTGTTTTAACACTGAGCCACACCCCAACTCTCTTGTCTCATTTCACCCTACTGTCCGGAATTCCTAAACAACTGCTAAAGCTGTTAGAAGTCTTAAGCAGAATTCCTTAGGAATCTGCATCCTCGCTCTATGAGCAAGACCTGCTGTTCTGGACTCATACAGGAGGCGTGTGGGGGAGCCAGAGCCCTCTTCCTGAGGAGAAAGCTCCTGGAGGACGCCTGCCCAAGAGCAAGGACAGGAAACAGACCAGAAGAATTAGATTAATTCTAGAACACAAGATTTTCCAAAGAACCAATCAGCAGTCACTAACCAAGAAACAGCTGTGACTTTCTTTAGTATTAAAGTTGGGTACAAAATGCATGTACCCAACGAATACATGAGCTAATTCACGTGGCATTATGGAAGGAAAACTATTTCAATGACCTGATTTCTTCATTATGAATATTATCTGCTACTGTGTCAATCCTGAAAATATCTTAATTAAACACAGAGTTTAAAAATATTTTCACATAACCTCATAAATGTCTCTCCCAAAAGAAGATATGGCTATAAGTAATCTCATTAAAAAATTATTTCGCTTATAAACAGTTCCAGGCAAAATGGCACTTACTGCCTTTCCCCTCCCTTGAGGTCAAGGTCATTTATTTCAAGTAATACTCTGGCTTCCTTTTCCCCACCTCTAAATGGACATTGTGATCCTAATAAATGGCATATATTTCATCATTACTGAAAATCTGTAACCTCTGGCACAATAAATGAATGGGAATAAATAGACTCCCCCTTTGTTTGAGTCTGGCATTTCCTTGAGATAGGCAGCTGATTTTCAGCAAAAGCCAAGGTAACTGAAGTGAAGCGCTCCATCTGATGTCAAGTTCTAATCCACAAAGAACGTCAAAAGCCACCTGTATAATTTCTTGCACAAGCAAAACCTCAAAAAACTCAAGGCTACTTTCCAGATCTGATTCCAGCAGGTAAAGTCTAACTTATTATTCTCCTTTACTAAAAGGCTGGGGTACAATTTCTGAATGTACTGGACTCCTACCCTTGGGAGATTTCTCTTCTTCCTGTTAGCCACTTCTCCAGCTCGGAAAAGCTTCCATTCTGTTAACGTGACAGGCAAAGTGGTGTCCTTCGTGAGCTTTGATCGCAAATACGCCTGAGAGTTCTTCAGTTCCATAGTTTTCCGCTGAAGGAACTGGGGTTTGGGAGGAAGCTAAAACGAGACACACGGGTAAAATGAGGTCGTCTCTAGTAATGACTATGCTTTCATAGAAAGTCAAAGCTAAGACGGATCTCAGTGAGTTCGAGGCCAGCCTGGTCTACAGAATGAGTTCCAAGACGGGCTCCAAAGCAATACAGAGAAACCCTGTCTCAAACCCTGTCCCCCCCAAAAAAGAAAGTCAAAGCTACCCAGAAATGGCCTATTTTTCCTTTAAACCCGCCCCAAACAGGGATTCTGCAATTCCTTCTCAGCTTAGTAAAGCAGTTTCTCCATTTCCTAATCCAAAATTCTACCCTGTGACATAACCGGATTCCCAAAGGATAACAGTGCTCATCTCCACCAACTCAAAGGAAGCTTTCAGGGAGTGGGCAGGTAACGAGACCACAGGCTGACAGAAATGTCATACAGAGCACTGGGAGCCACAGAGAAGTAAAAAGTTGATGGCCTGTCTAAAGCCCAGCTAGTCAAACCATGGTAATGTAACTCGATGGGGGAGTCATAAAAACTCAGCAACAGTAACAGGTTTCTGAACACCAACAACCATAAATTAATTTATGAAGAAGCTGAGGTGGTTTTTGGCAGTGCTCACGTGTGCTGCATGGTGTGACATCACTGCAGTCTTGGCTCTGAACACACAGAACATGCCCTTTGCACTCACAGGCTGTCATTTTTGAGACACTAAGATTAACCAACCAATAGCAAAGCAATTTTGAAAAGAAACTTGCATACCCAATCTTTAAAACAAAACCAAACTGACAACAAAATTACACTTCAGTGCCTCATAGCTTGGCCCCAGTTAAATGACCGCAACCTTTTCTATGGACAGAAAGGAGTCCAGTTGGATCTTCAGCAAATCCTCTGTTGTACCTTGGGTGCTCTGAAGGCCGTCTTAGCAGGGGGCAGCCTCCATGCTGAAGGGGATCTCCAAATGGGGAATGACTGCACTGGAATATCTTCATAGGGATTTTCCTTGGCTGGGTCTTTAAAAGTCATATAAACACTGTTTTAGAGGGACATGATTAAGTGGGAACAGTGGCCATCGCTAAAGAACACAATGATTTTCTTCTAGGTTCTCGTGGAGATGTAAGGTTGTAAGAGCAATGGCATTTTAAGTTTATACATCACTCCAATGTTCAGTCAAGGTAAAGAACTTTCAAAACACTATACTGTAAACATTTACTTCTCAAATGGGTCATCCATTATACTAGTTGTAAAACTCATTAACAATGAAAAACTTTATACAGCAAATGTTTCTACATTAGGAAAACAAAGCTAAAACAAGGTATGTCTGATTGTAAAAGACATTGTACAATTAGGGGCATCACCAAATGCGCATCAAATTTAACTGCAAAGCATGGACACCTACATATAATATCCTCATAGATATTATCCTCAGACTGTGTGTAATAAAGTGCTGAACCAGCATTTCTTCCAAGTTCTTCATGAATCTTCCGTGAGTTCCGAAAGTGCTGAATATCTTCAAATTCAAAGGATTTCCTTAAGAAAGGAGATACACTTTAAAGTTATGCTTTCAAAAACTTTGATCTCTAGAGAAGACAGAAGTTGAAAAGACTTGTGTGCAAAATTATAAAAATGGTCAGGTATGATGGTGCACACCCTTAATCCCAGAACTCAGGCAGGTAAATCTCTGTGAGTTCCAGGCCAGACTTGTTGGTCTACAGAGCTCCAGTACAGCCAAAACTACATAGAGAAACCCTGCCTCAAAGAGCCCTAATAAATAAGATATTATTTTTTAACTTTATATGTATGTACTCTGCCTACATGCATGTCAGTACAAGACATTTGTGCCTGGTGCCCATAGATGCCAGAACAAGTTGTCAGAGCTCCTGGAATTGGAGTTAGAGAGATGGTTGTGAAATACCATGTGGGTGCTGGGAATACCACCTGGGTTCCCTGGAAGAAGCCAGTGCTCTTACCTGCTGAACCATCTCAGTTCCAAGAATTACTCCCTAATTAAAAGTGAGGCTGAGACCACCACGTCCTAAATGACATAAAAGAATGGACCTTCTTATCTAAAAGCTCTTTGGTGGTTGGTCAGGAGGGATAAGACAATGACTTGCTATGGAACTGAAGCTGGTTTCTAAGTCACTATGTAGCTCAGGCTAGCCTCAAAATTGTGATCCTCCTGCCTCAGCCTTCCTGGCAATGGGAATATAGTATGCACTACCCTACCTAGCCTTAGGAATTCTTGAAGACATTACTCGATGCTCCTAGGTAGTAGAATGTCATGAGTGTTACCTGTATTTTTACACTTCTGCTTTCCCCTCCTACTCCCCCTCCATGCTATCAGCATCCCTATGCTCAACTGAAGCCTGAATTCCAAGGTGGGAAAGGAAACTTGGATTGCTGGAGAAAACAGCTCAACAACCCGGTACTATAAGTCATGACCTGTAAGATGAAGACTTACCTTTTGGATCTCCCTCTGATCTTTCCACCGTATTTCTTTGGCTCAGAATCCTGAGAAGAGGCCAAAGACGATTCTATACAGGAATTCTTTTCACAGTACTTTTGGTCACAGTTTCTTTCTTTACTTGGCACACCGCCAGATTCAGATAAATACCTGAATGTCCTACGGGGTTTGGGCAAAGGATTTATAGAGGGTCCACGTTCTTGCCCCTCGGGTTCACAATAAATATTTTCCAAGCTCTTGGTTATTCCATAAGAACTATCCAGAACTCTGAAATTTGGTTCTTTTTCTGTAGAGTCACAAGGTGCTAAAGCCAAATTTAAAACTTTATCTGAGGGAAGTGTTTCTATCCTTTTCCACAGTATCTGTGAGGTATAGAAGTTTCCTGGAGGTAACGAAGCCTCTGGATCCACAGAGGCATCTCTCAGGCTTTCAATCTGTTTGACCCGAGCACACACCCAGTTGGAGTCTGGTCCAGTTTCCGAGGGGTGAGCGTCTTTATACTCTCGCTGCTCGCCTTCATGGTCACTTTGATCATGGCTTTTGGCATCTGCACTCCGTGGTAAACCCCCATTCTGAGAGTTGCTCCTTCCATCACCAGTGGGATATTTATGAGGAGGGACCTCTTGGTGGCAGTTATTATAACTCACTCCAAAGTCCCTTGGGTGAGACCTCGTTGGCTTAGTCACACCATTAGCCCTTCCTTCCCACTGGGATATCTTTTGTTTGATGTTTTTGCAGTGGCTTCGGGACAGGGTCTGAACAGCAGACCGAGTAAAGCCAACATCCATGTTCCCAGTGGGGTGCATGACAAGTGACAAATCTCAGAAAGGTGCCATTACACGTTAGCTGGGAAATGCTGTATTCTTTATTTTGTCAGAACAGAAATGATTCCAATATTTTCCTTTCATGTTTAACTTGGAGGTATCTTGTTAAAAATAAAAATTTCCATCACTGATCTTTGTTGAAAACAGCTACAACTGTATCATGAATGATCCTATTAAAATGAGACAGGAATATTAACATAGTTTCAAGATTTCTCACTTTAAACTCCACTGAACACTACCCACATAGCACTAAATAATCAATTTATATTGCATTTGTAAAAAAAAAAAAAGTGCCTGTAATTCAACTCCATGAAGTCAATCCTACTAAGAAAATACCCCTGGTGCTATTTCTCAAGCTGTCAGCTTTAATGCCCTGCTATATTTAGTACTTTGAAAAATACAAATGGTATTCTGTAATGAATTAACTCTTTCTTTGTGTATATGGTACTAGAGCCTTACGTATGCTAAGCAAGCACTCTATCACTGAACAACACACACCTCCAGCCCATTAATCCATTCTTTATGAACCTCTCTCTTTATGTAGTATTACAAAAATCACATATAAGGCTGGACATAGTGACACACACCTTTAATCCCAGTAATCAGGAGGCAGAGGCAGAGAATCTCTGAGAGTTCAAGGCCAGCCTGGTCTACATAGTGAATTCCAGGACAGCCAGGGCTACATAGTGAGATCCTGTCTCAAAACAAACAAAAAAGCACAAAGAAGCAGAACTGCATCCAGTAATTAGAAGTATATTTACATGTCTAGACAGGAACCTATTCACAAACACATCAGTAACTAATTTCCTCCTCTTGTCTTCAGTTGCTATGTAGTATTAGCCCATTGCATACCTTTATTTCAACTGAACCGTTAGCAACACAGGATTTCACACAGGCTGCTAAAGAGACTCAACCCAAAGGCCCCATTATCTTGTCCCTGGCTGCATTTTCCACATCTCTGCCACCACGCCCTGGACTCGGAGCAGCAGTCACCTTTCTCATCCTTCCTTTCAGAGGCTTCACTCAGCCAGCACCATAAAGTGCTTCCTCAAATGTGAAGGAAGGCTGGTCAACACTTTTCCTGCCACTAGGCAGAGACTGCTCTCCAGCCCTGCTGCACAGAGGTTATAAATAGCACCGATTCAGAACTTCCTGAGCTAGGGTCATCCTTCCTCCTGCTTCATCTGCGTGCTCCTGATTAACAAGCAGGAAACTATCTTAGTCTGGCTCCGTCAGTAAAGCTGACTAAACTGAACTGGTACACACACACACCGTGCGCACGCGCACACACAGCACACACAACTTCTCTGAGGTTTTTGTATGCTATGTTTTTTTCTCACCCATATGAGTTTAATTTCTTTTCTTTTTTTTTTTTTTTTTTTTTTTTTTACGAGACAGGGTTTCTCTGTATTGTTTTGGAGGCTGTCGGTCCAGCCTGGCCTCGAACTCACAGAGATCCGCCTGCCTCTGCCTCCCGAGTGCTGGGATTAAAGGCGTGCGCCACCACCGCCCGGCTAATTTCTTAATTTTTTAAAAGAAATAATTTTTTCATAGACCAGAGCTTCTTTTCTGGAAAGCTAAATTTCCTGCAGACTTGTAAGAATGCCCACAAAACAGAATGCCCACAAAGACAAACACCACATGACTTCCTTAATGTGGAAGCTAGAGGGGAAAAGGAGGGCATGACGCTAAAGTCGGGGAGGTGGGGGTGTGAATAAGAGCGAGTGGTGGGGGCGAGTGTGATTCTTGTACTTTCATAAGCATGTGTGCAAATGCCACAAGAGACTTGCGGACATAGTGGACATGGTAGGAAAGGTGACTTTAAAAGCTTGTGACATGGGGCTGGAGAGATGGCTCAGAGGTTAAGAGCACTGACTGCTCTTCCAGGGGTCCTGAGTTCAATTCCCAGCAACCACATGGTGGCTCACAACCATCTGCAATTCAATCTGATGTCCTCTTCTGGCATGTAGGCAGAACACTGTATATGTAATAAATAAATAAATCTTAAAAAAAAAAAAAGCTTGTGACATGGCTTAAATGAAAGTTGTGGAAGTCCTGAAGAGCATTTTCTCTGGAAAGATGTGTGTGGGTCTGAGTGAGTGAATGTGCATGCTTGTTTTTTGTTTCCTGAGGCCAAATCTCACTCTGGAGCCCAAACTGGCCTCAAACTAGTCCCAGTCCTCCTGTCCCAGCCTCTAAAAATACTAGCACTCAAGCATGACAATGCATGACAAAGCATTCAGCTACTGTTTATCAAGACTCCAAATATCTTTTCCTTGCTTCTGACACTTGCAAGTGCCTTTGACACTTCATTACAGACAAGATGGATCTGGCTACTGAAAGGCTTCCAGTCTTGTTAGCAAAGCTTTCCCACGTTCCCCTGTTAATATGGGTAAAACTGAGGGGAAGAAAGTGAAAACTTTCAGAGCTACAAAAATCATCTAAACCTGAAAATTTAACTGGCAACAAATGTCTAAATCTGGAGAACTGCTGCACACTGATGGTGTTCAAGCCTCAGCAGGCAGCTTAGCTACAGGAGAGAAGCCTACTTGTTCTCATTGTATGCTCTCAAAAAGCCAAGTTGTAGTAATACAATGCCTATAATCCCAGCACTTATGTTGAGGCAGAAGGATTGTGAATTTGAGGCCAGTCTCTAAAGTACAGAAAGAGATCCTGTCTCAAAATAAAACCCAAAAGTGTTGATGCATTTTAACATTTATGACTGTACTGATAACACAAAGACCTTTACAGCTAATTTCACAGTTCTAATATTCTTTTTGCAAAATTGAAGGCTCTATATTTTTCTTTTTTTTTTTTTTTCTTTTTTCTTTTTGAGACATCGTGCCATTCTACAGCCTAGGCTGGCTTAAACTGGGATTGTAGGTGCAAGCCACCTAGTTTCCAAATGAGTTTATTGCTTTTATAAAATGACTTGCCTAATATGGTCTCATAAAAAAAATAACTAATTTGTCAAGCAAAACTTGCCTCAGACACCTCATATTCTCCCTAGCTCCTCTTCCCCATGTCTCTCCTAGGCGGAAAGAACCTCCAAACCCATTTCTGATCCCCTGGTCCCTCTACTATGAACAGACCTCCACCCCAAAAATGCCGGTTAGTTTTCAAGGTCTCTTCCAACCTTCATCCTTTTAAAAACTCCCTGAGTGAGGCCACCTTATTCACATTACCAGAGATTGCTTTTTCAAGCTTGCTCAGAGAGTTCTTGCAGAAACACAGGACTGCAAACATTTCACAATTTAAACACTGCCTCTTCTCTCTCTCTCTCTCTCTCTCTCTCTCTCTCTCTCTCTCTCTCTCTCTCTCTCTCTCTCTCTCTCTGTGTGTGTGTGTGCATGTGTGTTTGCCTCTGTCTCTCTCTGTCTGTCTGTCTGTCTGTCTGTCTCTCTCTCTCTCTGTATCTGTCTGTCTGTCTGTCTCTTTCAGTTTTCTGTGTAGTCTTGGCTGTCCAGGGACTCACTCTCTCCCTCTGTAGACCAGGCTGGCCTCGACTTCACAGAGATCCCCCTGGCTCTGCCTCCCAAGTGCTGGGATTAAAGGCAAGGGCTTCTGCGGCTGTGAAAGACCTCTGAAGGCGTGTAGAGCTCAAAGGAGAAAGTAAGGAACATGCACACAGCAGGAGTCAGCAGGTCCCTAGGAGGGCAGAAATGTGTACATCAAGAAATATGTACATCAAGCACTCTCAGTAGTCAGCAGGTCCCTAGGAGAGCAGAAATGTGTACATCAAGAAATATGTACATCAAGCACTCTCAGGTTAAAGAATGAAACAGAATACTTGCGGGGATTTTAAACCAGGCTTCTTTGCTTTTACTTTCTGTTGTTCTCCAGTGTATTTACATCCATCAAATAAATACATCATATGCAGTTATCAGCTTAAAATGTCACGTGAGTTCACCATATTACAGGAACCAATGTGATCCCAGTCAGGTAACAAATTCTCTTTGGACAAGAGAATATGGATGCTCAATTTACCAAAGTTTCATACACAGCAAGTTTCTTCAGATCCTTTACAACAATCTAATTAAACAGATGAAGTTGCCATAATTAGATCATTCTTTCTTCTTTTCCTGTTTTTGAGTGTGTGCATCTGTAGAGTACTGGTTGACACCGGGAGTCACCCTCAGGTGCTCTCTACTTCCGTCCTCACTGACGCAGGGATTCTCACCTGAGCTTGCACTTCACCCCATTCAGCTCGGCTAGCCTACTCCTTTGTCTCAGGGAACCCGTCTCCACCTCCCAAGTGCTGGAATTACAGGCTGGAAGACACCCCTGCCTAGCATTTACATGGGTCGTGGGGACCAGGACTTAGTTTTCCATGCCTGCACAGCAAACACTTTACCCTGGAACCATCTTTCAAGCTCCAATTTACATCACCCTAAAAGTTGAATCACTAAGTGATAAAGGGGCAAAATGGTCAATTTTATGATATATATATTTTACCTCGATTAAAAAGAAACTAATGAGCCTGCTGGTGTTGACTCAGGCCTTTAATCCCAGCAGGTGAGTCTCTGTGAGTCTGAGGCCAGCCTGGTCTACTGAGCAAGTTCCAGGCTCCAAGGCTACATAGAGAAACCCCGTCTTGTAGAAAAAAAATTAAAAGGGAAAGAGAAGGGGGGAAGGAGAAGGAGGAAGAGAAGAAGAGGAAGAGGAAGAGGAAGAAGAAGAAGAAGAAGAAGAAGAAGAAGAAGAAGAAGAAGAAGAAGAAGAAGAAGAAGAAGAAGAAGAAGAAGAAACTAATGAAAGCAAGCAGGAAAACTCATCTGTAGTCATAATGGATTGGACTCACCTTGCTTGTACAGCTATAAACTGTACAGAAGAAGATAGATGCTTTCTATATTATATATCAGCACACGGGACTGTAATCCCTGAAGGAAGCTGGGTCTCACTTTCTCCCTGGAGACACTCTATTACGCAGCATTGAGCTGGGGAGCCCCAACAGGGTGTGGCAACCTTGCTAAGTTGAAGATAAAGAAACTAGAGTATGAAAGGGCTAAAGTAAACAGAACTTTCCAGGCAAAGTTAACAGAAAAAAGAAGGAGGGATGAGGCAAAGTTCCAGAAATTTACATGAAACCTTGGCTAAGCATTGAGCAGCAAATGCTGAGGAAATTCTATATGGCTGGGCCATCGACAACCAATAAACAAAAGACCAACCA